GAGTGCAAGTTTTGAAGGACTCAAACCTTTGCTCAGAAGGAGTTACTGTAGTGTATGGTTTTTTTGTTGTTCTAAATGGAAAGGTACTGTTATCTTAACTGGTTGTAGAAAGATTTGGTTGCATCAAAAATAAAACACTTGATAAATATATATATTTCTTGATATATTTCTTTGGTATATTCAATCACAAGCAAACACAAATATTCAAAACATACAACACAGTTGAGATATGGTTATAGGTAAGTTAAAGCGCAGTCCTGCTAAAATATTTCAAGTCTTCTTGTAAATTATTGCAAGAGTCTTTGACTCAGTTCTCTCTGGAAGATTCTGAGGAAATGATAAGAAAGCAGAAGTATATATGCTTTCTGATATTTAGTTCATGAAATAGTTTTGGAGTTAGAGACAAGTATCCAGGTCTTGAGGCCAGGATGTTGTGTTCTTGGGAACCAGTGCAATAATATATAATTGAAGAAAAGAAACTAAACTCAGGAAACAGTAATTACCATCTGTTACTGTCAGCAGGAAAAGGAACAGTAATATGCAGTTGCAAGAAAATGGGTCAAGTGCATTAATGGAGGATAGCGCAAAAGTTGTCAAACCAAAACAGGAAGAAATGAATACATGGGAAAGTCTTGCTCCCTTATGTTCTATTTTTGAAGAGAAGACAAAATTGTAAAAGGAACTCAAAACAAAGTGTTGAATAGTGTGTAGGATAACAGTACTGTGCAGTAAAATGGTCTGACAAAAAATGAGCAATTAAGAGCCTAAATGCATATTGGATCTGTAACAGTGGTGGATTTGTGTGTTTTCAGGTGCTTCTGTGCATGAAATTTTTTTACGAGACTGAATGGAAATTTTTGTGACTCTTTTCAAACAGCTGTGTATTGAATATTCCATCATCCAGTGGTTTCCAAAAAAAATTTTTCAGCATATCTTTGGCAGTATAATTCGCTGTAGGTCTTTTATATCACAAAATTTATTAGAGTTCTTATCTGGGCAATGTGGGTAAGTGCAAAGTAAATCCTGTCGGATTCACCTGGATTCCGACGACAAAAGCTGATTAGGGTTTTTTGTTTGTTTTTGCTTTGTATTACTCTTTTTGTTTGTGTAAACTGTTTCATTATTCACTTACTGAGTCGTGAGATATTCTTCAGGTGCGTGGATGCACTTGAAATTCCACGGCAGAGTTCAAGGATCTCTGGCTCAGCTCCATTGTGGAAATAAATCCGGAACAGAAAACATTCCGACGTGGAAATCTCCATCTCTTGCACCTGTTGTGTTTAAATCGCTTTTTTTTAAATAAAGATTGAAAGTACTTGCGAGAGGATCACTGCCAGCGAGTTCTGAATTTTTATTGTTCTTTTTGTTGCCCTTTCAAGTTTACACAACGTTATTGTCAGTTTTTGTTGGAAATATGTTGAAGTATATGCACAGGGTTCTGAATTGCTTAAATTTGATAAAATAACTTTTGAGACATGCGCAAGTTTTTTTTTAGATGTTTATTGTTTGTGTTGATGAATTATTCCGTGGAGTTTTTGAAATTTAAATTTATTTCACTTGAAGAAATTTCCATATTTCCCGGATGTAGAAATCAGCAGGAACATTTTTCACGAAGCTCTGAAGCCGTTTCCGGCTGTTTGATAACCTCTAATATTCCATCCAGAATGGACTTATGTACTGGAATAGTATTTAATTGTTGCAAATCATTCCTTTTTACGCCAATGAGAACTGAAATGAATGACATGATCACATGACTGGCACAGAACTGACCTTTACTTTTTTAAATAAAATATTAAAATTATGATAAAATTAGGAATAAATTTTTTTTAAATGACTGATTGATTTGATATGCACCACGAGTGATTCATTTCTCTCGCATGTCTTTTTTTTCGTCCATTATTGTATAGGTCACAACAGCAGAGTATGTTTGTCCGGACGACCGAGTCGAGTATCGCATGGCGGCGTCGGAGTTGCGACAGAATGTAATTTACATTCAAGTGTACATAACTNTCCTCAAGCTAATTTTTTATTCATTTATCATCCGTTTATTTTTATTATCTTCAGCCTTTTGAATGAATCGAAGATTCACCAGCTTTTCAAGCAAGGATTCTTTGGTGTTACTAAGATGAGGGAAATTTATTCCTGCCTGATTTGTTGGTCATAAATAACTCTTGTTTTTTTCTGCGCCTAACATATTCTATTCACGATATTAATTTTCTGATTCTCTCTGGAAAAACTTCAATCAAATAATTTTATTCCTCGTCATTTTTGAAGGTGTGTATGATTTTTGTTTTCTCGTTTCGTCGTGCAGGTACATGCAGTGGTACCACAATGTGCACACGACAGCGACCCCTTGGCTTTTCCCAATTGCCTTGATTGGCCAAACGAGCTCGGTGTACGTCACGCTGGCCGTGACGTTCGAGAGGTACATAGCTGTGTGTCTGCCCCTGAGGGCCAGGTCGCTCTGCACCTACGGCCGGGCCAGGCTCTACATCCTCACCATCGTCCTTTTCTCCATACTCTACAACGTGCCACGGTTCTTTGAGGTGTGTGGGATATACCAAGAAAATAATAATATTTGTCATATGGGTCCATATTGGGTCCAAGACAAATGAGGAATTGCATTTTACAGACATCAGAGTGCAAGTTTTGAAGGACTCAAACCTTTGCTCAGAAGGAGTTACTGTAGTGTATGGTTTTTTTGTTGTTCTAAATGGAAAGGTACTGTTATCTTAACTGGTTGTAGAAAGATTTGGTTGCATCAAGAATAAAACACTTGATAAATATATATATATATATGTGTGTATATTTATATGTCTTGACAAATTTCTTTTGTATATTCAATCACAAGCAAACACAAATATTCAAAACATACAATGCAGTCAAGATATAGTTATAGGTAAGTTAAAGCAGTCTTGCTAAGATATTTCAAGTCTTCTTGAGAATTATTGTGAGAGTCTTTGACTCAGTTCTCTCTGGAAGATTCTGAGGAAATGATAAGAAAGCAGAAGTATATATGCTTTCTGATATTTAGTTCATGAAATAGTTTTGGAGTTAGAGACAAGTATCCAAGTCTTGAGGCCAGGATGTTGTGTTCTTGGGAACCAGTGCAATAATATATAATTGAAGAAGAGAAACTAAACTCAGGAAACAGTAATTAACATCTGTTACTGTCAGCAGGAAAAGGAACAGTAATATGCAGTTGCAAGAAAATGGGTCAAGCACATGAATGGAGGATAGCGCAAAAGTCGTCAAACCAAAACAGGAAGAAATGAATACATGGGAAAGTCTTGCTCCCTTATGTTCTATTTTTGAAGAGAAGACAAAATTGTAAAAGGAACTCAAAACAAAGTGTTGAATAGTGTGTAGGATAACAGTACTGTGCAGTAATATTGTCAGGCAAAAAATGAGCAATTAAGAGCCTAAATGCATATTGGATCTGTATAACAGTGGTGGATTTGTGTGTTTTCAGGTGCTTTTATACATGAAATTTTTTCAAGAGACTGAATGGAAATTGTTGTGACTATTTTCAAACAGTTGTGTATTGAATATTCCGTCATCCAGTGATTTCTAGAAAATTCTTTCAGCATATATTTGGCAGTACAATATAATTTATTGTAGGTCTTTTATACCACGATATTTATTAGAAATCTTATCTGATGGGCAATGTAGGTAAGTGCAATGTAAATTCTGTGGGATTCACCCGGATTCCTATACGACAAAAACTGGCTACGGTTTTTTGATGTTTTTGCTTTGTATAACTCGTTTTATTTGTGTGAACTCTTTCATTATTCACTTACTGAGTCGTGAGATATTCTTCAGGTGCGTGGATGCACTTGAAATTCCACGGCAGAGTTCAAGGATCTCTGGCTCAGCTCCATTGTGGAAATAAATCCGGAACAGAAAACATTCCGACGTGGAAATCTCCATCTCTTGCACCTGTTGTGTTCAAATCGCTTTTTTTTTTAATAAAGATTGAAAGTACTTGCGAGAGGATCACTGCCAGCGAGTTCTGAATTTTTATTGTTCTTTTTGTTGCCCTTTCAAGTTTACACGACGTTATTGTCAGTTTTTGTTGGAAATATGTTGAAGTATATGCACAGGGTTCTGAATTAAGTGCTTGAATTTAATAAAATAACTTTTGAGACATGCGCAAGTTTTTTTTTTAGATGTTTATTGTTTTTGTTGATGAATTATTCCGTGGAGTTTTTGAAATTTAAATTTATTTCACTCGGAGAAATTTTCATATTCTCCGGATGTATAAATCAGCAGGAACATTTTTCACGAAGCTCTGAAGCCGTTCATGGCTGTTTGATGAACTGTAATATTCTATTTAGAATGGACTTCTAATGAAATATTATAAAATTGTGTTAAATCTTTCATTTTTACGCCAGTAAGAACTGAAATTAATTCGCCTAATATTTGGGAAAAATACGGGCGTATATATTTCATCGCTTCGAGAATGACATGACTGGCACAGAACTGACCTTTACTTTTTTTTTTAATAAAATATTAAAATTATGATAAAATTAGGAATAAAAATTTTTTAAATGACTGATTGATTTGATATGCAACACGTGTGATTCATTTCTCTCGCATGTCTTTTTTTTTTCGTCCATTATTGTATAGGTCACAACAGCAGAGTATGTTTGTCCGGACGACCGAGTCGAGTATCGCATGGCGGCGTCGGAGTTGCGACAGAATGTAATTTACATTCAAGTGTACATAACTTGGATGTACCTGGTCGTCATGTTCATTCTGCCCTTCTCGGTCCTGGCTGTTTTCAATTTCTTCATCTATGTCCAAGTCCGGAAAGTGAGTTTTTTTTAACACGTTTTTATTAACTCGCTCTCTTGTCCGTTTGTTTGTCCGGATCAAATTTTGCAACTCAAATTTCGCTCACTTCCCGACTAGCTAGCAAGCTGAACCTTTCAGGATAGCTTATGAAGAAGTGAAATACAAATGAAATAGATGCGCACCCTGTTTAAGGTTATTTTTTGCTTTTTGAAAACGTGGTTTTTAGATTAATCTTTTAATCTACTAAATTTTTTTTTAACAAAAACTTTTTGCAAGTTTTATTTAAATTCAAGAAACTGTATCCCTTATTTGAGTGGAATTTTAGCGAAAAATCTTCGGTATGTGCAGGTGAACCGAGAAAGACAACAGCTCAGCACGATCCAGAAGCGAGAAATCAGCCTGGCAGTGATGATCCTGATCGTTGTTGCCGTGTTCTTTGTGTGCAACACAATGGCATTGATCATCAACATCCTCGAGATCAACGAGGCGCCTTCAATGATCGACATCCTCACGCCCATCAGCAACCTCCTCATCACCATCAACTCCTCCGCCAACTTCGTCGTCTACTGCATTTTTGGCAAAAAGTTCCAACGCCTGCTGCTCAACATGTTTTGCGCCAAGATACTATCCAGGTATAATAAATGGCAGTAACTTGTTTATATTATGCGAGGGGCATAGCAAAAGTTATCAGGATAAAAGTTGAAACAACGGATCAAGATTGAGCTTTTAAAAAGTTTTTTTTTCAGGAAAAACATTCTTTGGCACCATAATATACGAGGGAATTCTTTCACTTTTTTTTCTTTTAAACAATGCTAATTTTTCTTCATGTGTGTGTGTGTTTATTTTCTCGTTTTCCGGACCATGCATACGTAGATTCTCTTCTCAAGACAACAATTACCTGTACGAAGAGTCGCACTATCACCCGGCCAACACGACGGGGTTCGGCCAGAACCCCGGGTCGGGCATTCCGTTGGGTCGGTCGGCATCTTCTGGACAACGACCCAGTGCCACCACCTACGTGACCTATCATCGCGGGAGCCGAGCGTCGCCTCCGCAGCGCACAGTGTTTGCTGCGGCGAGGTCAGGGGCATCGTCCGGAAGTCGGCATTCCATGAACAACGGGTATATGCGTGTATACTGTACATTTTATTTATTTATATACAAGGGGTTTAGCAAAAGTTCACGGAATAAAAATGTAAACGCCGTTTATGCGTATAGGATTGAGTTGAAGAGCAATTGTTGTGCAGAAAAGGTATTACTGTATTTACTCAAGTACCACGCGCCCTCAAGTAAGGCACGCACAGGGGTTTTTCAGTTGAAAATTTTGTAAAAAAAAAATTTATCCCCAAGTATGACGCGCACCCCAATTTTTTGTGAATCTAAAACCATAAAATTTTGAAAATAAAACAAAAAATTTGACTTTATGCATGAATTGAACAAAAATCTGATCAATGTTCAATGTTCAACTTTTTCAATACAAAAATGTTTTCTTGTTGTATTTGTTCCAAATTTCTCTATTATAATCAAGTATATAATGCACACATAACTTCCTAAAACTTCTTGAAAATTTTGTACCTGCTTATGATGCGCACCCCTTTTTTTCTTCTGAAATTTGGGAAAAAAGGTGCACGTGGTACTCGAGTAAATACAGTATTTGGCACAAGAAAATATTTCTGCCCTGATTGTAGATTTTTTTTTTCCAAATTCATCCCGTGGCAGCTTATATATATATATATATATATTGTAGCCCAGCTTCTTCTCAAGAATATCCACAGTTTGACCCTTTTCTGTTTCTGGACTATGTGTTGGGCCAGTATCCAACAAAGATTTGTAGAAATAAAAAGAACACCCACTCAGCCTTTACAAGACCAGATCCTCCTTAGTGGAGTCCCTTCAAATGCTCTCTTTACTAGCATGTCCAAGATCTAACCACAGGCAAAGCAGGCACAGTAAGCAGTCCAACCTATAGACCTACACTCAGCATTAAATAAGTCCAAGACACAAAGACAGTTCCTCCATCTGTTCTCTGTAAGTCAAAGCTGGGGAGTAAGTGATGGCTTCCCAGCTCCTGTAGAAACCAAACCAAGCATGTCACCCAGACTCTTGATCTCTATCTCATCCCTGTTTACTGCAATGTGGCAAACTGGGTGCGCAGCCACAGGGCAAGGATGCTGCACTTGGGTCATGCCAAAAAGCACAACCCCACACTATGGTCAAATTGTGAAATGGTCAAGTTGTAAAATACTGTGTAAAATTGCGTAAGAGCTGCAAAAAAATCACAGGAAAAGTGGTTGAAGCAGATCAAATTGTGGGGCCAAGGTTGAATTGCAAGTCAACCTCCCAGAAAATTCAACAGTTAAATTTCAGGATAGACAAATTGCAGGTAAGTCATTATTTCAAGGTACTGCCTGCACAGTACATTTTTGAAATGGTCATGGCAGTAATTCCAAGGTCTGCCAACTTCAAATATTCCGTAGAGTAAAAAGGTGGTCAGCAAAAATTCTTTTGAGTGAATTTCAGAAAGTTGCCTGGGCACCATTTTCAGTAAATTTTCTGCCAAAAAATGTAGTACAGGGCTGAGTTTCCTTTTCTGGGGCCAAAGAATGTTTTTCTTATAAGAATGTTTTCCAGTTTGAGCTTATGCCATTTCAATTTTAATTTCAAGAACTTTTGTTCGACCCCTCATACTTGGCTGAATTGGACTTCCTGTATAATCCCAGTGTTACCCTTGAATCTCTGTAACCCAAACCTCCCTAGCTCGAATTCTTTTCCCATCACACCTCTAAAACTTTAATTTTCTGCAGACATTTTGGCCATTATATTTTTTGTCTAGGGAAGAGAAAAACGATTTAAAAAAACATGTGCTCAATTCTTTCTGCATTTGTGAGCAGAAATGGAAGTACGTCAAACACTGCAAGAACTTCGCTGGATTCCTCAGCAATTATAAAGTCTAGCGTGCGACGCGAAAGCGAAGATTGTTCTGAGCTTGGGTCAAGTTTTGGTCAACACCTGAATGTTCCACAGCAGCAGCAGCAGGGACTCACTAATCGATTCAGGTAATTATTCCAATACTCTTATGTTATGGGCTATATTTAGGTCCCATTTTCAAAAACGTTTTTACATTTTTTTTGGGTAACTTAAACTTCACTGCACCTCCAAAGAAGTCACACATTTTCAAGTTTGGTGTATTAAAGAGTGTTTGATAAAGGCTTAAACTCTTGAAAACTTGAAACAGGAACCTTTTTTGGGTTCAAAACTGAGGATGGGCCGAGGCTGTTAATTTTATTAACACGTTTTTATTAACTTGCTTTCTTGTCCGGTTGTTTGTCCGGATCAAATTTTGCAACTCAAATTTTGCTCACTTCCCAACTAGCTAGCAAGCTGAAACTTTCAGGATAGCTTAGAAACTGATGACAATTTTAGTCTTACTTGAAAAATGTGGTTTTTTAGATTAATTTTTTAATCTACTATAATTATTCATCACATTTATTTATTTATTTTTTTTAATTTTTGCAGAGATCGGAAATCACGGTCGATCACAAGCTGCACCAGCGCAGACGAAAACGTCGACAACTCCCTGTTGTGTCCGAATCCGCTCGACTCGTCGTCGTCCGACATCTTGTTGCTGCAAAGGTCGCCTTCTTCGCACAATAACGCCGACGATTGAGAAGCCCCCTCAATTTTCTGTTTATACATTGCCGGAGATTTTGCAAAACGAAAAGAAAGAAAGAAAAATATGAGCAATTTGATGATGGACGAGGCAACAAGATTCCGCGCGGAAAAGTCGTCGATCGTCGACGAACTTATTGGGAGTGATATTCCTTCTACACAATTGCTGGCCGGAGACGTCGTCGAAGACAAAATTTTTTGCTTCTTCCGGGGTCTGCGCGCAAAAAAATCTTTGCTTGTAAACTTTAATTTTTTTTTGTGACTTTTCACAGGAGCGACTTTGTCGTCTCTTTTTTTTCAAATGTTCTGATCTTTATTATTTTCAACGCTCTGAACGGCTTTTGCGAGGTGTTCAGTTTGAACTATAGTGATCAATGTTCGCATGCCCCCTCTTTCAAATGCGAGGGTTGTCCCAATTGGACGCGGCCTTTGATATTTCTCGAGTAGGTGCGGTTTTTAAAAAAAATCACAAAAAAGCTTATTTCGTTGTGAGGTTCTGGGATTTTTTTATCGGATTAAAAAAAAATTCCAATCTTCTGTATGATGGTACAGTCAACCCCCAATAAGACGCCACCATTTTTCCAGGTCAATTTTGGCGGTTTAAAGAGGTTCAAGGTTTATCAAATATTTAATTTTAATTATTTGATCAAAAATACTTGATTTTCCTCCAAAAGTCATAGAGATAAAGGTTATGTATATAGGAACTTCAGTAATTTTCCAAAGAGTATTGCTGTGATCAATGGATTGCTCTTTCAGAAAATAATTTTTTCTGCATCAATTTATTCAAATTTCAAGATTAGGTCAATACATTTTTCAAAGTTTTCAACATTATAATTTTTTTTTATTACAAATACAAGATCCTTGGCGCAGAAATTATAATTCTACCCCAATTTTGGCATTGTAACAAAGACAAAACTGATTGGAAACAGCACTTTTGTTTCATCAATAATGATGGCGGTTGGCTTCTTATCAAGGTTTTCTATTAACATAGAGGAGATTTGCTTCATTCAAAATTTTGGCGGTTGCCAAAAGGGTGGCGCTTTATTGGGGAGCGTCTTAACAGGGTTTGACTGTAGGTAAAAACTTTCCAAATACAGACAGAATTCTCCACTCATGAAGCTAAAAATGTCATGCCAGCTTCAAAAAAAAAAAAAAGAAATATATGCTGTTTTACTCATTACTTTGTCTAAACTTTAGATTATGATTGAAAAACAAGAAATTCACATTTTATTCAGCTAATCTGACAAATTTGTAGCAGCTTGATTGTGACCCATTCATGGGAACTATGTCTGTAACTGCTGGGAAGTTTTCACTCATCATCATGCTTTAAGTTGAAAAACGCTTTGAAAAATCCGAAAAAAATCCCAAAATCGCAGAACATCATTGGCTTCGTCATGATTTTTTTTTACAGTCACAACTATTGCATAAAATATCTGGGGCCGCGTGCAACTGGGACAGCCCTCGTTTGCTGTCGGAAACACAAGCACTGTGGAATCGACGTTTGGAGAACCGTTGTGAAGCTTCTCTTTGTGATGATCTAAAAGTATCCTTTTTCGCCATTTTTTGATGGAATCCAGTCGGAATTATTTGACAAGGATCGTGCTAATTAAAATATTTCATTAAATCATCTCAAAATTGCGAATTGGCATCAGTCCTACTATAAATTCCCGGCGATGAAGCACTCATATATAAAGCTAACATAAATACAATATTTAAATAATAATAATGTCCTAAACTAAGGGTTATTTGGATACTTTGAGCACTGGCATTGTTTGAGCATTTCTGGTTATATCTATTTATTTAATTTTAAAAGAGGGAAGAAATTAAATAGTGAAGAAAAGTGTCTTTGTGTGCACTTTTTTTGTGTGCAAAATTATCATTACAGCTGTATTATTTTGGTGCAAAAAAAAAGCGCAATCTCTGTCTCATTTTCCCTTTCAAATTATTCAGTCCTCTTATTATTATGATTCGAAGGATGAATAAAACCACTTAATTGCTGAATTGGAATGAGAAAAGGACCCTTTTTTGATCATCACGGAGTTTCAAACGGAAAACTCGGCGAAGAAAAGAATTGCTGATGATAAGTGTGGACACTGAGAGAAAGGCAAAAAAGGAACAATATTTGATTGGAGAAAGAATTTTTAGAAATTGACAAGACAATGAGATGTTTTAGTCAGGATATAGAAACTGTGCTTATAGGGATTCGAATGGCATCCTCCAAAACAAAAGAAAAGGCGTCCCGGTGATGCTGACCTGTGTTATTTATGCGGAGGCGGTGCAGAAAATATTCAAAGTGTTCCGAATTCTGGTCGTGGTTTTTTGTTTGTGTGTGTGTGTGTGTGTGTGTGGGCGTAATTTGTTTCCGGTACTTAATTCTGCAGTTTTATCACCTCAGATTGTTGAATTTTTTGATGCAGGTGGTACCTCTCAATTTGACTGTCCCAAAATTCAACAGTCAAATTTGCAGGGAGGTTGACCCACAATTCAAACCTTGCACCACAATTTGACCTGCTTTGGGCATTTTTTTGCATTTTTGCATTGATATTTTTATTTATTTTACAACGTGTCTCACAATTTGACCACTGTGCAATTCAACCCTAGTTTGGCAATGGATTAGAGTCAAATTGCAAGGTACCACCTGTACTTCACGTATCAGATTTTTCTGCACCATCAATTTTTTGGTCTACTGTGGAACCTTAAAGCTTCTATCCTTCAGAAGAGTGTCCAGAAAGTTACTCTACAGTTAGTTACATTGAGAATTATGAATTTTTCATGCAATGCAGCAGGTCTTGTTTTGAACATCTCATGATTGCATTACATTTTTTTTCAAGAACTGAGTCAAGAAGCATTGAAATTAGTTGAAAGGAGTGGGAAACTTTCAATAAACTCAAAATAACAGCTAGTGTCTCCATGGTAAATTGAATCAAATCAAGATGGTATTATGACTGCCAGCGACATCTACCCACACTGAAAGCATTGGTTGTTCTGATGGACAAATTAACTTTTCAATTAACCCTCAGATGGCAGAGGGTTCTTTCCTGTTGCAGGATGGAGCCTGATTATTTTTGTATCCTCCCACATTTTCTGTATTTTTTGAAGGTCAGGAAAACCCTTCCAGGTGGGCTGAGGCAAAGTTGGGATTAATCTGAGAAAACCTGTTGATTCACTGAGCTTTTTTCCCCCAAAAATTTTTCTGGGCCAAGGGAAAAAAACACCAGTATTCTTTGCCCTTGACCCCCATGTTGTCATTTTTTTCATCTCTCTGAGGTGCAAAAAAATTGTTGCAGAAGTAGTCTGACTTAGCCACCCAAGGGTTACAACTGTGCAGTAACTTTTTGATTACTCTTTCATTTAGTTTTCTGCATTTCATTTTTTGTGAGGGAATGATTGTTTAGTTTTTACTGTCTCCTTTTGCGCTGGAATCTCGGTTTTATGAGAAAATGGAAAGATTTGCTTTACTTGAAAGTTGTCTCTCTCTCTCTCTCTGTTTTGTCATGAGACAAGAAATGTCGTGCATTCATTCATTTGTATACCTGTTTCTTTTCTTTTTCAGATGAATGTTTTGCTTTGAATGCGTCTCGCAGCGAGTCTTCGAAAGGCTGTGAAGAAGAAAAATAGTGGTTTTCTTTCTCTGTTTTTTCGTCCAAATTATAATTTCAAAATGATGGCCGGGATTCCGGGTTTCTGCGATTTCATCGTGTCAAACGTGTCCAACAAGTCGATGACGTCAGTGTTTGACGTCAGTAACGAAACCATGACGATGGACGACTCATCGTCGTCGTTGTCACCGTTTTTGTTCTCGTCGCCAGACGACGACCTATTGTTGCCGTCATCATCATCTGGTGCAACGGCGGCAGTTGATGGACGCCACGGACCTTCTTCTTCGTTGCCAGGAGTCACCGGACTTCCGCTTCCGGGCTCGTCGTCGTCGTCGTCGTCGTCGTCGTCGTTGTTGCCGGACTTGGACACCGCTGCCTACGAGTTCATCGTGCACGGGATTTGCTTGCCGATCGTCGGCTTGTTTGGCCTCGTGGGCAACGGACTGTCCATGTTCATCCTGTCGCGACCGCAGATGAGGTCGAGCATGAATTGTTGTCTGTTGGGATTGGCGAGTTGCGACAGTGCGCTGATCCTGTGCTGCCTGCTGCTGTTTTCCGTGCCGAGTGTGCACGGGTTCTCGGGCCTGTTCCGGGGCTACTACGCGACCCTGCATCACCTGACGGCCCCGTGGCTGTACCCGCTGGCCCTCATGGCCCAGACGGCGTCCATCTACATCACCATGACGGTCACGCTTGAGAGGTCTGTTTTTTTTTTGTTCGTGTTGATGCTGTCACAGAAATAAGAGATTTGATACCTTGTTAGGAAATTAAAAGTAAATAAATGGTACAACGTATACGGTACTACTCTACTACTTCTACTCAGGTGCGTTTTCTTTGAGGATTGACTTGAGTTTGCAAATCCTTGCTCAAGAAATTGGAAGATATGCAGTAGTATATTCATATTTTCTCCTACACAAAACTGTTATGGTTTAATTAGTTGGAAATAAGCATATTGTCAAATTTTTTGGATCATATAAGATTCATATACAGTGGCCCCCCGCCTAACAGACCTTCCGTGTAAGGGATTGCAAGCAGTTTTTCCTCCCGCCCAACAGACAAAATCTGCCAAACAGACTTCTTTTGGTTTAAAATATTAAATTTCAAGTCAACGGACCCCTCTTTTTTCGTGGCGGCGTCCTTTGCCGCCAAATAAATTTCGCACATCCCTTGCACAAATCAAGTCTGTTAGATGGGGGTTGACTGTATGCAGAAGAGGTACAGGGTCATCTGCCAGTCATTCAAATCACGGTCGCACACCCGCCAGTCGTCAAGCGCCGGTTGGTCTAACCACCAGCAAGGGCAGTCCTTGGCCTTGCCAATCCCCAGTCCACCAAACTGTGGTCCAGTCACCCAATTGTTGGGGCATCCGAACAATTGGGTGATAAGAATTATGCTGATTCTTTCTAGAATTTGGTGAGCAGAATGGTATCCTACCACAGATTTTTTTTTTTTAATTTCATCTTATAAAAATTTTCATAAAAATAAAAAACTCATCAAACCCAACCTAACTTAACCTAACATATCCTAACCTAAACTAACCTAAACTAACATAACATAAACTGACCTAACCTAACTTAACCTAACATTGCTGAAATTTTGAAAAAAAATTGGTGGTAGGATACCATTCTGCTCACTGAATTCTGAAAAAAAAAATCAGCATGATTCTTGTCACGCAATTGTTTGGGTGCCCCAACAATCAGGTGACCAAACCGCAGTTTGGTGGGCTGGGGATTGGCGAGGCCAAGAACTGCCCTGGCTGGCAGTTGTACTGACCAGCGCTTGACAACTGGCGGGTGCGCGACTGTGAATTGACCAACCGGCGGCTGACCAGACACCATGCAGAAGAGGACCCTTTCATTTTTAATCTGTACTCATGCTTGAATGATGAAACTTTGGCAGCAAAAATGTGATGTTTCCTCTTCTGTCAAACACAGGTATGTGGCAGTGTGTCGTCCATTGCGAGCCAGAGCTCTGTGCACATATGGAAGAGCCAAGCTGTACCTGGGCATCATCATTGCGTTTTCCATCGCTTACAACATCCCGCGATTTTTTGAAATGAGCGTGAAACGGGTGTGTTACTTTGGAGCTGGGGATGATGAAGCAGATGGAGTGCAGTTGTTGCACAAGGAACTGGCTGTCTTCCCTTCTGCACTGAGAGAGGATCCTTTGTATGTTCAAGTGAGTGATGCTGCTGTACACATTTATTGAGATCAATGCAATGAATGCTGCTTCTATTATTGAGCATTGCAGAAGTGATTGAAAGCCATTTCTGCAGTTACTCTTGTGTCACGGATTTTGATTGCACTGGCACAAAAAAGCCCACTGTAGCGCAAGCGCAATTATATATTTTCATAATTTTGGAAGTTTGTGCTCACCACCTCAAAAGGTTACTTTGATAGAAATAAATGTAGCTGAAGGTCTAGAAGTTTGAATAATTTTTTTGTTTAAGGCACAAAATGTAGAAATTGAATGTATGCATAGACTTGAGTCCTTAGAAGTTTGTATTTTAATTATTCACAGAGACGGTTTTTTTTAATTGCAACTCAAAAATTGCAGCATGTGAGGAAAATCTTGTCCAATGCTTTTTTCAAATTTAATTGGGAGCTCTGATGGAACTTGTGCTCATTTGCTGACTGTCATTCTGTTGAATTTATTATTATTATTATTATAAGCATGCAGAATGTCAGCATTGGAAAAAGTCTAAAATTACCATCTTGGAACAGTGGACGCTGCCAATTTTTTTTTTTCTGAGGATTTTTTCAGCAAAAGCAAAACTGATCTAGAAAAATGAAACTTTTTTGTANTCCATCGCTTACAACATCCCGCGATTTTTTGAAATGAGCGTGAAACGGGTGTGTTACTTTGGAGCTGGGGATGATGAAGCAGATGGAGTGCAGTTGTTGCACAAGGAACTGGCTGTCTTCCCTTCTGCACTGAGAGAGGATCCTTTGTATGTTCAAGTGAGTGATGCTGCTGTACACATTTATTGAGATCAATGAATGCTGCTTCTATTATTGAGCATTGCAGAAGTGATTGAAAGCCATTTCTGCAGTTACTCTTGTGTCACGGATTTTGATTGCACTGGAACAAAAAAGTCTATTGTAGCGCAAGCGCAATTAGATATCTTCATAATTTTGGAATTTATGCTCATAACCTCAAAAGGTTACTTTGATAGAAATAAATGTAGCTGAAGGTCTACAAGTTTGAATAATTTTTAGTTGAAGACACAAAATGCAGAAATTGAATCTATGCATAGACTTGAGTCCTTATTAGTTTTATTCTAATTATTCACACAGAACTTTTTTATATTGCAACTCAAAAATTGCAGCATATGAGGAAAATCTTGTCCAATGCATTTTTCAAGTTTATTTGGTTGTGAAGCAACCAGTGCTCATTTGCTGACTGTCATTCTTTTGAATTTATTATTATTATTATTATCATTATAAGCATAGTCTTACAGTCGTAACCTTTTTCAGATTTTAATGGTAGAACCTTGTCACCTGCGACGGTTAAAAAAAAAAAGACTCCTAAAAAAGTCGTTTTCGTTTTGACTAGATCTTTTTACTTTGAAAAAACATAATATCTTAGCCCTAGGTATTCTTGGGTCTGTTTAATTACAGTGAGGTCTTGGTTTACAAACTTAATCTGTTCCAGAGCAAAGTTTCCCAATGATCGGATTTTGTTATTCTGTTGATATCATTGATGAAAATACTTGTTTTTGATTCAGTGGTTGATTGATGTACTGTACAAGCTTTATTTGCTGCTTGTAAGCCTTCTCAAAGTTCAAAAAATGTTTCCCACATCACATCATACAACCTGTAGTTATTTTAATGTACTTTTTTAGAAAACTATGTGCTTCATACATTCTTTCAAGATTTTTCTCTTTAAAAGCATGCATAGGGGAGACCAGAAAAGCTTGAGTTTTTTTTTAACAGGATTACTGTGGGGTCTTGGTTTACAAACTTAACCTGTTCCTGAGCATAGTTTGTTACGCAAATCTCATGTTCCCTTAAGAAAGTACAGGAATGCAAAATTTTCTTCAGTTGGAAGCAGATTCAGAAAACTGTCACAGAATAAGTTCGCAAAAATTGAACACAAATTTTGAAATAAAAGTCAAAATCTTACGAGAAATATTTTATTATTGTAATTCCAGCCTCAGCCCTGTAGAAGACCAAGAAATATATGGTGCCAATTTCAGGCCCAAAAGGGGGGGGGGGCACATTTTGGGAGGCTCACTTTCGTAATCAAAGTTTGTAAACCAAGTCATCATAGTTTTTCATATTTATAAGACAGCACAGGTCAAAATACAAACTTTTCCAACCAGGGCACAAGGTGGTCCAGTCATTGAAACAAACAAACAAACAACAAAAAGAAACTTGACAAGTCTCTGATGTGTGTTGGTGATTGATTGATTGATTGATTGATTGATGAAAGTGTTGATAAATTCACAGGTGTACGTCCACTGGATCTACTCCATCGTCATGTTCGTGGTGCCCTTCTCCTGCCTCGTCGTGCTCAACATCTTCATCTTCGTGCAAGTGTGGCGGGCGAGCAAGGAGCGGATGGAGCTGACGCTGTCCCAGAAGCGGGAGCTCGGACTGGCCACCATGATCCTCATCGTGGCCCTCGTGTTCCTCGCCTGCAACACGCTGGCCCTCATCGTCAACGTGCTGGAAATGTACTCGTCGCCGGTCATCAACTACCTCACGCCCATCAGCAACCTCCTGGTGACCGTCAACTCCTCCGCCAACTTCGTCATCTACTGCATCTTTGGGCAGAAGTTCCAGAAAATCCTGCTGGCCATCGTGTGTCCGCACAAGCCGCAGCAATTTCGACTGCGATGGCGACCCGCGGACTTTGCCTGGGGCAACGGAGTCCTCTACTCGTGCTGCCGCTCCAACAGGTAGAGCTGCCGCCGGTGCATGCGGTCCTCACCGAGCGTGAAGCACAGCGGCTGGCGGAAGTAGTCGTCCGGCAGCCACCGCCGCCGCCGCCGCCGCCGAGAGGAGGGCGGCGACTTGTTGTCGAGGGTCGGTCGGCGGCTGAGTCCGCCGCAGCCGCCGCCTTCCAACTCGAGGTGAAAAAAATAATGATTGGGGGGAGGGGAGTTTTAATTCTGATGCAGTGTAGGGCCCCGAGATGCGGACGCAATTATTGATGCTTGGACCTCATTGTCCGCATGTACAAGGACACGTTTTCACAGCATAATAGACTTTAATGGGAACTTGATTTAATTGGTTTTCACGTTTTTTTTTTTATCCAAAAATTAGAACCAAGAATAATAAGTATCCCAAAAAAATTGAACATTTTTTTTGTCAACTTCAAGATGCAGAAAATGAATTCACAGAAAAAGGCTTTACAGAAGCTGATCTTTTGGCATCAAAAGGAGCATAAGGTATTGTGTAGAATGTAGATGATGGAAAAAATTCCAAAAAAAAAGAGCAAAATGAGTCTTTTTTGGAATATGAAATTGATTAAATTCTTAATGAAATTTTTTAGCATTTGAGAATGAGAAGTCACTCAATTTGTTCAAGAGATATTCAAATTTTGAAAAAAAAATGAAAATTTTTCCCTTTTCTAAAAAAAAAGTCCCCTAACAACATTATTCTGGGTCCCAGAAGAAAAAATTTAATTAATTCCTAGGAAAATCTTGGAAAAATTCAAATTTAGAGAAAATTTAATTCATTCCTGAGAAAATCTTCAACAACTTTTAAACTAAAGGCACTTTCATGCACAGTACTTGGTAACATACAGTATTCCAAAAATTAATGCACAGTAAAACCTCAATTTAGTGCCATCACTTTTTTTCTGGTACATTTCGTGGCACAAAGCAAAGGAGGGACTGCTAGAGATGAAGGTTTATAGCTGACAGCTTCTATTGTTGGCAAAGCATTTTCTTACAGAATTTTTTATGATATTGAGTCTTTTTTACAAGAGAAAAAGCAGAAAGCAACAAAAATGATCTGCAGCTTTATCTCAATTAATTTAATAATAAATAATATACTGTATTAGATTTTTGCACATGCTGTGTCCATTACAAGTTTAGAGATGTTGTATAAAGTTTTGTACAAAACCTATAAAATGAAATTACACAAGTCCACAATCCTTTAAACTGGACTATAATTTTTGGAAGAGGCTACTTTCCCAAGCAATGAAGATAATCCTCATATTGTGGAAGACATCCAAAAAATGCCACCCATTGACATGGGGATATAGAAATCAAATTTTTAACATTTTTCTGAACATGGACATGTGTTTCTCTCCAGTATTGACCAAAGCATGTTCTTAGAAAAAGGCTTCAAGTTCTTCCATTAGGGCCCTTTTTTCATTCAGGGCCAGAATTTGTTGTGGTTCTGTGTGAGTTGGCAATACATTGAGGGTTTCCTCCAGAAAACAAATAATGACGTTTGTACCAAGGAAAATTTGTGGTAATAAATCTAGGGTTGACCATATCACCTTTTAATTTGTCACAAAAAGGAGAAATTGCAATATATTGTTTGTAATGCATAACACATTTCTCTATACAATTTCAGGAATGGTGGAGCTGGTGGAAGAGACAGCATTGCTGCCATCTCCTTTTTTCCCAGCCCAAATTGGACGTCTCCAGCTTCTGCAAGCCAGAGATGAACTCTTGGTTGCTGCTGAAAATTTGCTTTCAAAGAAATCTCGATTTGACTCTGAAACACTCATTTGTAGGACCCTGGATTGCATATCGTGCATCGTGATCAGATTTTTGTTTACATTCCCCCTTTTGAAGTTGATCTGAACAGAGTAATCAGGGATGAAAAGAAGAAAAAATACAAACTTTAGGAGGTGTATATTCATGAAGTTGCAACTTCCAAGTCATCAAGTTTTTGTAAAAATGTGGCCTGGATTTTTCTGCCAAGTGCAAATTATAGGTAGATGAAGGATTGCTGAGGAACAGTGCATCTGAAATGAATCAACATGTTTTGTTTTGTTCTTTTCTTTGTGATTTTTCCATGTTTAAAATTGTTAGAATAATTCAAAATGGAATTTTGTATCAAATATGAGCTTTATAAAGATGTTCTGGTCAACGACAAGTGATGAATATTTAGCATTTACAGTTGAACCTCCTAAAGTTGAATACCTCCATAACTCAAATGTTTCAAGTCCTTTTCTGAATTCCCTTAGAAACAATGCATTAAAAACCTCCCTTGCTGTAAGTCTTTTTCTCTCAAACTTCTGTGATAGTTGAAAAGACTTCGGAAAACCGACGATAAAGGAACTTTACACCTTCTCTTTTAGTTACTTTGTTTGCTAAAATACGTAGAACTTTCCTTCACTTTCTGACTAATTTGTTTACTTGGGGACGTAGGAACTTCAGCAAGCTCTAAACTCATCAAGAGGCAAGTTTAGATCCAAAATATCCTCATTTACAATTTCCTCCAATTTTTTACTTATCCTCACAGCAGAAATGTCCTAACTCAATGTTTTCTTGACTCAAAACCTCCTTGAGTTGAAACCTCCTGAAGTTGCATTTTTCTTGGTCCCTACAAATTTGACCAACAGAGGTTTGTTTCTATCAAATAAATTTGTGACGCCTTTCCCTAGTCAAGTATCATAAATTTTGACAAAATATTTTGAAATTGAGTTCCAATCTTTAAAGGAGGCTAAATAAATGTGTGCAAATTCTTGAGGAAGTGAGCCACAAAATTAAATGGTCAGCATTAATTTCAAGTGTTTCAAATTTTCTTGCATGGTTCAAATTCTAGTACAGTATAGGCAATCTTAAAATCTATGATCACCACATAAAAAAAATTGACAAAGTTGACTGTGTCATTGACGCGGAGAACACCAAATGTTTCACACTGAGTGACAAAAAAATATTGCAGAACTTTTCTTCATCCGCGTTTTCGAACTTGGCAACAAAATTCCCCACATTTTTTCAATGAAATTTCAAATGCATTTTTCAATGTTCAGTTTGGCGCATACTTCAAGCAGTTTAATGTGCAAAACATGAAATATTTTTCATGGGTTTCGCTTTTTGCGACTGAAATCTCAAGTAATAATGAATGTGGTGTATATTTTTCCCTGTGATAGTTTAATGGCTCCCTAATGCTTACCTTTAGTAGGCCATAGTTGATGTTGTCGACAAACGACTTCAGTGTGCTCAATGCTTTATTTTCTGCGGAGAAACGAGTTCGCTTCTGTTGCGCTCAACTTGAATCAATGCTCATTTGTGTCATCTGATGTACATTTCGTGTTTCTTTTTTCTTTGTGTGTTCCGAGTGGCGAAAACGTAATTTTGTCGCGTTTCGCTCAAGACAGTCAAGAGGTGACTGACCCGAGATGAGCGGTTTTTTTGTTGTTTTTTTGTTTGTTGTTGTTTTGATGTTAATGGGGTCAGTATTGCAGAACATTACTTATCTTAAAGTACAATTCAGGCAAAACTTCTTCCAGTAAATCAACAAATTACACATTTGCTGATAGCTCAGTATTTTTCTTCCCTAGACAACAGTAACCATTTGGGCCAGTCTGCAGGCCCAAAGGGGTTGGGAAACACTGCTATAGCCAAGTCATGAATGCCAAAAAAAAAATATCGATAAGGAACAGAAGTTACCATATGACTGGTGCAAATTGCGTGACCAGAGATCTCGACGCAATACAATTTTGTGAGCATTGGAAGAATGAAATATATGTTTTTCCTGACGATCCTCGTGCTTTTCATTTCATTTTCTTATGAGTAAATCAACGAGATTTTTTTTTCTCGCAGACATTCATTCAAAAGCTCAATTTGGCGAGAAATCCTGCTTCCATAAAAATTCTCGCGCATATTCGCTCGGCCGACAGGAATCAGAACAGGTATAAACAGCAATTGTTCCCCAATCGACGGCATCCTTTTCACTCCCAAGACTCAGGTGCGTGAGTAACTGCGGCATTATCTGTCGAGAACAAATTCAAATTTACAAAGTGAGGAAAAACCGAACCCAAGCGTAAACTGTGCAGCTACATCCCATCCAGAATCGTTGGAGTTTCCAATTGAAAAAAAAAAGATTCCATGACTTTTCTATTAAGTCCTTCTTTATTCTATTTGACTAATAGCTGACAGAAAACAAAATTAAATGCGATGAATAGAATGGTAAAATTCCGTTCATGCGCATTTACTTTTTTTCTGAATGGCTTTGATGATTATGCAAATGCAGCCAATATATTGAATTGGTAATTGGATATACGGTAGAATCTTACTGAGTTCGTTTTACTGAATGATTTGTGATGACAAGCTTGTCAAACTTGATGGCTGGAGAAAATTTGGTATTTTCCTGTTATCTCAGTACCCATTTTTATTTGTCTTGTGAATTCAGCATTCGTTAGGTTAGGTCAGGTTATGTTAATTGAAAGATATTTGTAACTAACATAACCTGACCTAACCTAACTTTACCTAACCGCCTCCCAAAATCAGTTCCAGCAGAATGCGGAAAAATGAAATTCACAGTTTCTGGTAGGTGCACCAAAAGTAGGTACTGAGATAACAGGAAAGTACCAGAAAGGTTACCATCAGATCTGTCTTTCATCAATTAAAGCTTGCTTTTCTGGTATTCTCAGATTTCTAAAATATTGTTTGAAAAATTGAGCGATTTTCCACACACACACAAAAAGTTTGCTTTAATCATGCTTTCCATCAGTTGCCCAAACTGTTCTTTCTGTGAGGATGATGCGTGGAACCACTTCAAAACATGTTTGTCATTGATTACAGCTTCCATCTATGCTACAAGAATCAAGTCAGTCACATTTGGGATCAGAAATTTCAGACTGTGCCTGCTTTAGTCAGGAAATTTCCACCCAAAGAATCTATTGAAATTTTCTTCAAAAAGCCTTGTTTTCCTGGAGTGGGGAAGTTTGGGTACTTTCCTGTTATCTCAGTACCTACTTTCCGTGCCTTATTTTATATAACTGTTGAGTTTGGTGCACAAAGTACAATCTGATTATGGGAGGTGGTTAGGTAAAGTTAGGTTAGGTCAGGTTATGTTAATTACAAGATATTTGTAACTAACATAACCTGACCTAACCCAACTTTACCTAACTGCCTTAACCTAACTTTACCTAACCGCCTCCCAAAATCAGTTTCAGCAAACAGTTTCTGCTTTCAAAGAAAGCAGAAACTGATTTGCTGAAACTGATTTTGGGAGGCAAATCAGTTTCTGCTTTCCTTGGGTTTCTGCTGAAACTGATTTTGGGAGGCGGTTAGGTAAAGTTAGGCTAGGTCAGGTTATGTTAGTTACAAATATATTTTAATTAACATAACCTGACCTAACCTAACTTTACCCAACTGCCTCCCAAAATCAGATTGTACTTTGTGCACCAAACTCAACAGTTATTAACATGTACTCCACGGGGTTTCTGCTGCCAGGACTTGATAACAGTTTCTCACACTGGTACAGTTTTTGTACAGGGTTTTTTTTCCCAACAAGATTTTCCTGTACAAAATTCAACATCATCATCCTCTTTGGAAGAGCTACCTGGAACTTTTCGGGTGATATGTCAATTGATACTTCAAGAAAAGTGCGGTTACTTTACTGGTTCATTCCTTCATTTCAAACGTTTGTACAGTCAATTCAATTGAAAATCTTCAATGACTGACCTGAAATTCGAAATGCCTCGGGGCACCGCACAAGGCGCAGGGCGGAACAGCAGACAAACTGATTTGATTCTCCACAGACACCCAAAGCGGCTCCGATTTCATGTGGTACCGCAAAACCTGTTCCGGATACATCCGAACTCGACGCAAGAACCGCTCACACACCGGATCTTCTTCCGGTTTCGCCATGGCCAACAACTCGGACTCTGAATACTCCTTCGCCGCCTCAACGGCGCCACTTTCCTTGTCACTCTCGTCGTGTTTGCCAACGTCTATAGCACTTTCTTCATGCTCACTGGCATCATCATCGTCGTCATCAACATCATCATCATCATCCACCAACTCCTCCGACTCAATCTCAATCTCCTTCTCCGGAAATAAAACGACGCCCGTCTTCTCCCAGTTCCGGTCTTCCGTTGGCGACTGCTCAACCCCGCAGGCCTTCCTGTGCCCGGCTTTCCAGTCGGTCTTCTGGTGCAAGGCAGAGCAGTAAGTCGCCGTTTTGCACTTGGAACACCGCTTTCCATATGCGGGTTGCCCGCAAACCCAACAGATGGCGTGGAAGTCCGCCACCGACGGACCCGGGGAGTCGTCCTTTTCCGGCGTCGGGTGGAACGAGTAGTACGGGTTTTCCCGCGGCAACTGGCTTCGGAATACGGCCATGTTCGAGCATTCCGCATTCTGGAGTCCACACGAAGCAGTCCTGCAACAACAACAAAAAAAGAAGACTCTCAACGATGTTATCAAAGCCTTGGGACGTCACATCATTCACAAAAACATGATGTGCATGAAGAAGAAATATGAAGAATGTCCAAGTTTAATGAGCGGCATCAGATATTTTTAGAGAATGTTGTTTATTTTTTTCCGAGAATTTCATAACAACCAACAGAAATGTTTGAACTTTCCTGAACCCCTTCCAGGTTCTGGTTTTGGCCCGCACCTGCTCATAAATGCAGGATGGCAGTGCATGTGCAACCTCTTTTATCTAAATAAATACCACATTACTTCTTTGATTATCTGCTTGTGCTGTAAAAGTATGCCGATGGAATATTGAATAGTATTAGAAACACACTTGCTGAGAGGAACCCGTCCTTTCTGTTCTTGCCCACATTCTTATGTTGCCATCATTCCATTGACCTCTTCGAGTTTCCCAAATTAATAAAAGGACCCAAATCCTCCCCTTTTTACTTCAGTAATGAAAGGAGCAGAGTACATTGTAGGTTTTTTTTTTTATATGCGAATTCATGTGATGATATTTTGATGAAAGAATAAAAGCGAAGTCCGAAGAAATTATTGCATTCCACTTTATTTCACCGGAGTACTGTACTTAGTTTGGGAAACGCCTGGAAAAAAGGGGAACAAGTCGAAATTTAAATGACAAGTCTACAGCACTGATTGATTATCTCAAGAGTTGGCTACAAATATATTTAGTTTTCTCACCTTAAAATCTCTAGTGTTAGACAAGAAACTTTTCAATACAACATGTTGAAAAATGCAGAACTCAAGCCATCAAGCCATCCTGGGAAAAGCTCAATTCATTTTTAATCGCGCTGAAAGTTTGGGAAATCATTCAAACAAAGCTTGCCATAGTAAATTAAATTATTTCCCTGCGCATCCAAAACCCTGAAACCGAGTCAACTCACCGACACAAGAACACAAACAATGTCCGATGAAACCCGTCAACCCGGGTTTCAATCGGCGCGTAAATCTGCAACAGGAACGCCATTCTTTCTTGACACCGGCGACATCGGAGGTCCTCGTCCGACGGCAAGTCTTGCAGCGCGAGCCACGCGGGTTTGCCGCCCAGTTTGCTCGGGAAGAATTTGCTCGCCAATTTCCACCCGGGCACTCCGGCGTTCACAAAGCCGAGTTCGGCTTCTTTCGTCTCGTCCACGCGACGCGGGCCCGAACTTGAGTCCATATTTCGCCAACACACGGAACTCAAATCCCGGAAACTTTTATTTATTCTTTTGGCTCTTTGGAAACAAGGAAAAGAAACGCATCGGCCAGAATGCACCACTGTTTCAAAGCAAGTCAGTACTGAACTCGGGGCATCGCAATAACGAAAACGCTTAGTTGACGCTAATCGGCTTTCTTACACGGTCTTACAACAAAGGAGCAAGTACCAGATGTCTAAAAAAAATTTTTGACACAAAAATTGAAACGGCAGAGGGTTGAGCTGGCAAGCAATGTTTTGTTCAGAAAAATGATTCTTGGGCTCAAAAAAAAAAAATGCTGCCTTGTTTTTCGCAGAAGTCGCCCTTTAGCAACTTTCTGTTAACCCCTGGAATCAATGCAGCATCAATTTCAAGATAACTGAAGGAGAAGCTGGGATATACAAAAAATCTGCAAAATGGGCACCTCATTCTTTAAGTGAAGAGCAGAAAGCTGTCTTTCACAAAAATCTTCCACAAAATATGTTGAATAAGGCTGCATTTTCTCTTGTGCCAAAGAATTCTTCCCCTGGATAATACTGTGACAGCTTTTCAGCTCAAAATGCCATTTCAATTTTCATTCCAAGAACTTTTGTTAGACCGCTTGTAGTAGAAAATGGGACAGAAACAATTTAAAGAGCAAGGCTCAGATGTTGTGTAAAAACCGCACAGAAGATCAGGTTTACAAAATAAAAGAAGGAAGCCCACAAGGAGCAGTTAAGCAAAAGCAGGTAACTAAAGCAAGCAGTCTTCTGAAAATTTCCTCTCTTGATGCACTTGAACTAGATCAGCATTCTTACACCCTCACACAAAAAAGAAAGCAAGTCTAAATAAAAAGCCCAAAGAGCAATGGATAACCATATAAGAGCAAGGAGCAAAAGTGAAAGCTCGCAGAAGGCCAGGTATACTTGGAAACGAGCAAGCGAAAAAAGAACAAATGCAAACAGTTTCGATGTCTGTTCTTTTTGAAATTTGCTCTTTCGAAACTGATGATACGCAATAAATATTCGTTTTTGCGACGCTCGAGAGTCCAAAGCGAAACGAAGCGACATTGAGTAAAAATGTTATTACAAAACTCCGTACACATTTCAACGAGAGGAAAACCATCGGTTGTCACAGCACGAGACAGTAAGAAACCACGAAATCTTACGGCAGTGATACACCAGCAACGTATAAAAAATACTCGAGAAGAAGCTCAAAAGAAACCACGGTTTCCATGGAAAAACGACGAACAAACAAAAATATTGGACGGAAAGTCGTTTTGTTCACATTGTACACAATCACCTCCTACTTCACCTCGTCCAAACCCGTAGGGAAAATTCTTCCACTACCCTGAAGAAAAACATAATGGTGTTCTTCCCAAGACTGTGAATCTCACCAACACGACAGGCTAGGTCAACTCTTTTGAAACTTGAACCAACAGCAAAGCAGTGAATCACGGAATCGTAAATTGAAGTCCTTTTTTACGTCGGAAAATTTCTCAGAAGTCTCACGAATCATGTACAGTACTGTACTCTACAGACAATCAATCAGTATGAGCACGTAACACCCTGCAATCCATTTCCGGCAAGTCAATATTCATTCAAAAAATATATGTCATTCCGTTTCACGCAGATGTTCACGGTATACTGTGGAATTTTTAAACCCACGAACCATTTCACGGAAATTGGCGTATGATGTAATTATACGAATCAGTCACAGAACTTTGAAACACTGCTACCGGGTGCCTGCAATTCTCAGTCATAATCCAATTAAGTGTGCCAAAAAAAATAAAAAATACAGATGAAAATGCGGTGGGTCAAAGTGCGGCCACGAAAAATATGTTTAGGTTCTCAGAAATATCAGAAACATTTTCCGCATTTTACGCAAGTAATATTAAAGTTTTTGTGTACCCCTGATGAATATTGCATTGGTTTCTCAAGTTTAAATCGGAATAACATTTTAATTTTAATTCAAAAATGAATAATCTCTGGCATATGGGACCTTCTACTGATGGAAGACATCTTGGTTTCGATTCACAAGACTTTTGAGAAATCTTTTGCAAGCTAAACTCGAGTCCGGATTGCATCCGAAAGCTCAGTGGGACCATCCATCACGCGTCATCTGACCTCAAGAGTACAACCAGAATCAAAGATGCCGTCAATTTGCTAATTCTCAAATTATTTTCGAGACTGATCACTTCCTCGCAATAAAATATTCGCACGCATTACGCAACAAAAACTCGGGGTTACCAAAAACAAAAACCAAAGATCAAGATTACAGTCGATTTCACAATAGATCAGCTTTGGTGTATTTTGAATAGCGCTCAGTGGTCGGCTGCTTCAGTTTTCCACGCCGTTTCGAGTTACGGCCGGATAAACTGCGTCCAACTCTCGCAAAATGCCCTCCAGCTCTCGGTTTATCATGCTCACCCGCTTCGCCTGCAATCAACGCAACAAAATACACATGAAACTGAATTCTTCCCATTAAAATTGGAAAGAAAAAGTATGCACTTCAAAGCAACCGCTATTAAAATAACGGTGTCCAAAAAGTCTCTTTGAACTTACAAATTAGAATTTCATTCATAGAATTTCATAATCGACCTAATTTTTCAAAATTCATATACATTTTTATTTTAGGGTGAGTAGATGTCACTGTCGACTAACATACGTCAAGTCGCACTCCCATAGTCGTTCCAAATTCTATCGGGTTCCGGATTTAATTTTCTGACATGGTATGACATTTCTTTTCCTTCGCCTAAAAATCTTTTTAACGACATACAGGAGTTCACACTTCTGCACGCGATGAAGGGACATGTTCATCTGCATCGCCAGCGTCGCTAAAATTAGCCGCATTTAATAAAACCCAATAACAAACGAAAAGTGTGAAGAAGAATAAAAAAAAATTACGTCACCTGCTGGTCGTAAGGAAGCGTGCAAGGAGACCCCCGAGGGATTTCCATGTCTTGCGTCATTGTGAGAAGCGTGGAACTCAGGTCTCCCAACGAAATCGACGGGAACTGCGCAAAAATCTCGTTCCGCGTCGGCCCCAGTGTCTCGGGTTCTGCCAACGGCGCCTTTTCCTCTAAACCACCAGTAAAAGTGGCGTCTTCTTCATCCAAATCAGAGCCGCCACTCGCCCGCAACCCGGGACACGTTCTCAACGATGCCGGCAGCTTCTTGACCCGGAAAACGACTTTGCTCGCCAGTGGCGACGGTTTCGCCCCGCCGTCGAAATGCTGGCCCGTTATGGGGCTGTAAGGAGCTGCTCCACGTTCCAGAGGCGTGCTCATGGCCGTGCTCTCAAGGGGTTGTCGCTGCTGGCCCGGGAATGGTTGCCGGGGCTCTTCGAGATCCGGCGTGACGAGTTGTTCTTCGGCGAGCGAGTCCGACCGAACGTCGTCCTCGACCGCTTCCGAATTCGTCTTCACCGCCACGTGCACACTGCATCTCATGTAATTCTAGACACACAAAATACATCGGGAATCAAAATTACTGCAAAGGTACAGTATCATTTTGTTTTGGGACATCGAAGACAGAATCCTACAGCGCAAGAACATTCATGAGAAAAGCGTTCCAGAAGTTCAGTTTCACACGTTCAGCTAATTTTGACATTGACAATGAAGCGGTCAATTTTAAAAAAACTGGATTCTTCAACAATTACGGGGGACACAGTATTTGAGCAGAATTACTTCCATATGCAACTTTGATCATCATATTTCTCAAAATTTATTCAATTTTCCCCATAAGAGGCAGACCTTTTTTTATGGTAACATCCTCTCACGGATCAAGTGGTCAAGGCTATAACTCTGAAAACGAGTGACAAATCAGCACTTGAAAAAATTAACATTTATATTACCTCTGATCTCACACTCAATATGCTTCGAGATCACACACACACACATTAGAAAAAAAAATACATATACTTTACTCCATGAAATTTCAAATCAATTATTAATTAGAAAGAAGAGAAATACACAAAAATCGCGACGCACGAACCTTCAACACATCCCGCAATCGCGACAACTGCGTCTCCAAATCGTGACTGCATTCCTCCAACTCCTTCCGGGCCCGGTTTTCACTCACAGCCGGGCCATCTGCCGTGTCCAGACTGCCCAGGACGCCCTTGAGCTGCTTCTGCTCCTCCTCAAAGTGCCACAAGATGCTTTGCAGCTCCTCCTGGTGCACAGGCAGGATGTCAACTCGGACTCGGCCGCCTCCTCCGTCAGTACCCGCCACCGTCGCTGTCACTGCCGACATCGCTGCCACGTCAGACCGCTTCCTCACCGCAGGCGACGACGGGCTTTCCGATGCCGCCGAGCTTCCGACGGAGGCCGTGCGGCAGTACCAATTGCCGCTCGTCGGCGTCCGCGCGTCCACGTCGTGGTCGACGACGACCCCGCTGCTGCGCGAACTGCAGCTGGCTTCTTGGTGGCCTAGGTAACCGTGGCCGGCGGCGCCGCCCGGTGGTGGTGGCGGTGGCGGCAACGGAGACGGGTTCCCGTCGCGAGAACTGGCCTCGTCCTCACTTCTCGTCAGCACCGGTACCCTGATAAATAAATGCCCATCAGAACCAGCTTTAAAATTATCAAATGCAGGCAATGACATCTCGGACAAAAAAATGACACCTTACGCAAGGCTTCATTTTTTTCAGGAAAACTGTACTGTGACAACTAACCAAAGCCAACTCAAAAGTCACTGCAATTGACAAGATATAAAAAATTCATGCATGGGTTTCAGCCTTAGCATCGCACAGTAACTTCTCGGAAAAACTGAATTTCGACTTCAGGCTTTTTCAATAATCAAATTTATGCGCATAGAAGTCGCAAACTGAACTCTCTGACCTTTCGTTCCAGACAATTTACAGAATAGTTGTCAACGAAAGCTGATACAATTACTGAACTACAATAAACAACAAAAAATAGAGGCATCTGCAGAAGAAAATAACGACTCCAACGCCGAGGGAAAAAAACCATTCCAACTCACAAATCTCCCGCAACTTGTGGGCTCGAGTCCAAAGGTAAAAAACTCGGGCCTTTCTTCACACATGGTCTGGATAATCGCATCACACTCAGCAGTCGATGCACAGCGACCGAAAACCTCTCAGAATACGTCAACTACACAAAAATATAAATAAAAAAGATTAACAAATACGTCAAGAAACAGGAAATAATACCTAATGACCAATGGCAAATATTACATTCCCATAAACTGGATAACCTCAGACTAGACTCACTTGTGCAGAATGTTCTTCCATTTGGTGAGACTTTTTGTGACCAGAAACATTGCGCCCCAGCAAGAAACACGTTTGACACAACTGAACGTTCCAGCACTGAAGACAAACGTAACAAAGTCCAACAATCGGATTCTGTCGGCATGCTTTGCACTGCACGTTGTGTTCAACTGCAATCAGGGAAAACACACGAAAATCCTCTTTAAGCAACTCAACAGAACCCGGATTCCGCTTATGAATTAAATGATATTTCCGGACCCTATGAAGCATTACAGGTGCACTTCGGCGCGTTTCTGTTCGGGCCACGACATAAAAATCAAGGAGTGTCACAACTTTGTATGGAAAAAAGCCTAATTTCAAAGTAATCAGAATATACTGAACAACGATTCAAATTATTCAAATTATTAGAGAATCAGGAAATATCTGAATTTCTCGTTCATTCCGGGGGAACTTTACACCTTCTCGAAAAATTATGCAGTCGATTCGTCCCTCAAAGATGAAAATTAAATTGAAATCGAAAATTCTGACTCGGTTGAAGAAATATCAGTTACAAATTACCGAGTTCAGAATCAGCCAAGCGGTGGTTGATGAAGAGCCAGACGATGTTCTGAGGATGTCGAGCCATCCACTGCAAGTACTTCTCTTCCGTCAGCCCAAAACAAACCTGAAAATAATTTCTTTATAAAACCGTTTCCGGAAAACTCTCCTACGGAAACACTCTCGTCGAATGTCTCACCTGTCGACGAAGGTGACTGTAGCTCCCGTTGATTCCGGGGCACATGGTGGAAAAACAGGATTCCACAGCGGGTCCGACGGTGTGCAACCCGAACTTCCACCCTTCGTCTAGGTACTCCATCACGGCGGACATTTCCTTGAGTAACGTTGCTAGCTTCACCCGCGAGCAGCAGTTATTGTGATCACTCACTTGGCGGAATAAATCTGCAAAAAAAAGCAACAACAAAGGCGTCAAACTCAATTCAAGAGCCTCGCAACAAAATAAAATGAACAAAAAACCTCAAGATATGTTCGTTGGAAGTACAGTAGAAGTGTGACCCGGTGAAAAAACATTAAATATGAAGTTTCTGCAGAAGGCGATAACCTATCCATGAAATCCCGAAACGGATAAAATGCGGGAAGAACACTGACGAAATAAAAACTTGCATTCTTCAAACAAAAAAGAGAAAGTTTGTCCTCAACTTGACCGAGGATCAAGCAAACATTTAAGAAACGTCTTTCCACGCATGCAATAACTCACATCGTAACTTTCCTTGCGGCCTGTCTTTGCACAGTAAACAGAGGAATGTTTGAACTGACAACACCTTCACTTGCCCTCGACGCTTCCTGCGAAGAAAAAAAAATTAGACATTCAATAATGAAAGAAAGTTGTAATAGAAAAACGAAAGAAAAAGCCGGCTTGAAAAATTTTCGTCGAGTTTTTCTCCTGTCACATCTGGGGACTGACAAGATAATTTTTAGAAGAAGTCATAGAAACTAGAAAGGGACTATTATTTGCTCATTTCGTTCTTTCTCACCTGTTTTTAGAGGTTTCCGGGCTTCGAGAAAAAATTTCGAAGATGTCACAGCTGATTTCTTGTTTATTTATTCGTTGTTTGTTTGATGAAATGCCTTGACATGAGTGCCAAGATCAGAATGAAACGAACTACTGTAATCACTAACTTAGTTCGTGTGTTGTCAACACAGTAACTCTTGCTCAACTATTTATTTTTATAGTTTTGAAAAATTGTTTCAGGTTTTAATCGCCGATAAAGCCTCACTTGTCGAAAATGTTGATGAAGAGGTTGAGGGTAAGTTCCGAGCTGAGGTCGAAAGAAAACCCTTGGCTCTCAACTCCAATCCACGCAATGTAGGCGAAGATATCCGAAATAACTGCCGCCACTTTCCCGATGCTCACCAAAGTATCGGCTTCCCCGGGTTTCAAAGCGTGATGCTGCATAATGCTCGCGACGGGATACACATTCAGAGAGTCCCCTAAAATAAATCAATCATACACAAATGGTTTTTTCATCACATTCCCAAAAAATTCTTAAGACAGTAATATCGTACTGCACTTACAATTCAGCCGTTTCTGAATCATCCTGAGTTTCGTTGCTGCCCTGTAAGCCGCGTAATCGATTCTGTTGCAGTCTTCCAACATGGACAAAACCCTCCCCAACATCGGATGATCCCAGGAAGTATCGGCTCCATCGCGACTGAAATAGGGTTTCGAATGAGAATAAATCCTTGAATCAAACGAAAAATGTTTATAAGAACAATCAAAGATTTTTCAGCTCATCAGGAATCGTAGTCAATTCCTTTTCTTCAGAAGCTAAAATACCTGCACGAAAGCATTTCTTCAGATCTTTCAATTTACAATGCAATTACACCTCACACTCATCCTCGCACTAAAATCATATTTTTTTTATTTCTTAACTCGAATCTCCAAATTAAATGCCATGATGGTTAAAGATTAAATTACAAATGTATTCTTCGGCGATCAACGAAAATTTATAAAATTAAATTAAAAAAGAAACTCGCACTCACCTGACATAATAGGGCACACCGTCACCTGAGCTGTTTTTCGCCCACGGGTCCCCAACCTGTTCTTCGCTTCCTCGCATGTTAAATTTCCAACAGGATTAAACAACGAACGAACATTGTGCTTTCATCACAAAACAAAACAAAAATAAACAAAAATAAAACCTGCAAAAATCATGGAGAAACAAACAAAACACATTAGAACGAATTGGCGAATCTTTCCGTGAATATAAAAGTGAGAGAAATGAGGAGAAAAATCAGACTAATGGCATGGTATCACGTGTGTATCTGAAAAAATTGCACCCTCGCACCAAGAATTCAAATCCAACGGATCCCAATTGTTTTTTTCCTTCAATAAACGCCCTTTTTTCCGCAAAAAGGGGGATAAAATCAAGCTTGAATCACATCTAAACTTCCATATACAGTCTGCTGACGTAACTGTTCGCTCAAATTGATAAAACCGCGAAGAATGCGCAGAAATACAATGCCAGTGAACAATTAATAACTTTCTCTTTTTTTTTCCAAATGCAAGAATCAACAATCAACTGTACACCTTCTTGTCCCCGGATATTTTTCAGCGATGAAGACAGAAATAAAAGGAAGCCTAATCCCATTCCAAAATGAAAACAAAAATTGAACCATCTAGGTGAAATTTACAAGAAGTGCTGGACGGCCAAGTAACTCCGTAGCAGATCATAAAAAAATCAAAACAAGTACCACAGGTTCAAAATATCTCGTGAATCATCACAAAACGGGTTCCTCGGGAAAACTGAAAAAATTCGAGAAACGAACGAAATCACGACTCACACAGTTCTACTACTGAAAAAAAAATCATAATCCGGAAGCCATTCGATCAAATTTCGGTTTAAAAATCGTTCGCCATTCGCGCACTTCTGATTCATTACTTCTCTTATGTCGAACACTCGCAGAATTGATGACTGGTATCGGACTGTGCAAACATTACATGATATCGTGAACGAAAATTAACAAAAGGGATTTTAGCAGCGAATCAATGCTTACAGTCAGCAACGGATAACATTTTAAACCAAATCAGAGATATTGCAGGATGTCAAAAAAAATTACTTTGCATGGGAAAATCTAGCAATTCCTTGGCCAATTTTTGACGAAACACAAAAAATTAAAATCTTAAGCGGCGTATACTACGTGAAGATTTCAAAAAATGACTCGAACCTGGAAATCTGCATGGAATGTAAGCTCATACAATCTCATGCAAATGTATAACGAGAACCCAGCAAGGTACGCCTGTGAGATTGATCCTCATAAGAGCTAAAAGTCAGTGATAAATTAGGAAAATTCTTCTCAATAGCTTCAAAATTGTTCCCTGCACAGTAGCCTTTTTTCGACAACCCACATCCATGAAGGCAAATGAATTCTTCAAAATGAACACCCATTAATTTTGGAGGAAAAAAAGTTTGATCCTAAAAACAATGGAATCGGCAGTAATAGTGTCTCGTGGCTTTCCGCAGCATTGCACAAAACGAAGATCAAAGTCCGTGACAGACGAGCTTTCCCAAACCGCTGAATGACATCAACCGAAAATTCAGCACCACAAAGGAAGCCAAATTAAACAAAAAAAGACACGAAGATGTTTTCAACAGTCGGATATCAAGTCCATGATTGGATAAAATGGAATCATCCCGTGATATGAAACACAGAAGAAGCCGCAACTCCTGTCTGTTTCGGCGATTACATTACGAACAGCAGCAAAAAAGAAAAAAAGAAATTCCTCACTGTGTCCCTTCAAGGCTCGCTTCCGACCCACCGGAAGGTATAAAGCACACTTCTTTTCCATATTTTCCAGTACAGTAGTTCGATGGAGCTTTCAGAAGACGAACTTGGTTTACATGCAACCAACAAATTTCCACCTCAAAACGAACTTCACGTCTGCTGACGCAGAGTTCGATGCTTCGCATCACCTGCTCATGAAACTTGGGAGATTCAACGCGTTGTTTAGGAGTTCAAAAACCAATGGAACAAAAAAATGGCAATCAATGAATTAACAGTGAAAAAAATCTTCTTTGAGCAACAACAAAAAAGAGATCCGCAAATTTGCCTTTTCCGGAACTTATTTCTAAAATGTGGACCAATTCCCAATCGAAATATAACATCGAACTGCGAGCAATGATACCAAAATTTCAATTATGGCTCATCTTTTTTTTTCTCGTGCGAAATTGACAATTCGGATCCCCACTTCATTTGAAATCGTCCAAAAGAATTGGCAGATGCTGTTTTCTCACATTTGCACTTGAAACTTTCTGCATACAAGTCTGATTATGCTTGAACCTATGCTCAGCGGTAAATCGATGTTCTACGGCGCATACAGTATTTTCAGACCAACGCATGGATTAGCAGATTGCACGCAAATAATAAGCAGCGCCCCAATTTTTTCTAGCTTCGTCATACTCTACTCGGATTCGGGATGCAAAAACAAAATTTCGTGATGAGGTTCTCTCCAAGTTTCAACGAGGCAATTCGGAAACTGAAACGTCACTTCAACGCGTAAACAGGGCATCTTCGATTAAGAAGCGCAAAAAAACAATAATAATAATCATCATCATCAGAACCAAACACGTTGCTGTCACGACGAAGCAATGCAGAAACCCATGCCATCAGGAATGAACGAACGAATGAATGAATGGATACGAACAATGAGCCACACGCAACAACAAAACGGGACCAAAAAAATAAACATAGCTTCTTGAACAAGAATTAAAGAAAGGAAACAAAGGAATCAAGCTAATCAAGCATCTCGAGATACATGGTCGGCACTTTCCCACGCTTCGAGCCCCGCTCGGCCGGCACATAGTCGTCCTTGGCCGTCGCCGTCTCTCCAAACACCGTGATGACCTCGTCAGCCAACAAACTCAGTTCCGTCGGGTCCTTGGCGTCGTAATCGTACAACACTCTCGCCTTCTTCTTTGTCTTCTTCCCGTCGCCGCCGGCTCCACTCGACACCGGCTCGTCCACATTTCCGGTGCCCAGCGTCAAACTGGGACGACGACAACATCGCCGCCACGAGGGACAAACAACGGAAGCACGAGGGGGGTGCAAGAAGACAGACCAAAAAAACGGCAAAACGGAATACCCAGAACAAACAGGGAGGGAATGGAAAGAAAGAAGACGGGGGGCGGAAGAAAGGAACGAAACCAGGGAATTAATGTCATGCACTCTTTTCATGCTCCTCTTCGCGAATCCCGCTCCTCCACTTTACACACAAAAAGAATGTTTTTAACTGAGTACAATACAGTATTCCATCTGCTGACTTGAAACACACATATACACACACCAACACGTATTGGGTGGCCAAAAACTTACTGCGCAAAATGGACTCAGCATATTTTCTCTCTACTCTTGAATGGAATGCATGCAGAATGTGCAGCAAAACTGTATCGATGGTGAATACAGTACGTAGACACGGTTAAATAAAATCTGTCCTCCATTCGATGGTGACTGCCAGCGACCTCTACCCATAGTGAAACGATTCGTCGTACGAGGGATCTAACAAATGTTATCGGAATAAGAAGTGAAATGGCACATGATTGAGCGGAAAGAAAAATTATAGTTCAGGGAAGACATCTGGCATAAGAAAGAAATTCAGCCCTGTTCGACATATTTTAAAAAATTTTTTTTTGCAGAAGTCTCCCTCGCAGATTTCTGCTTTTCGCTCGGAAGAGCTCGCCCATCTCGCTGATTTTCTGGTGTACCCAGCTTTTGCTTTAGAATTCTTGAAATTTACAAGGCGTCAATTCCAACGGTTGCCGCCATTGATCGATTACTAATTTCGTTTTTATTCACAGCCGCCACTTGGGATGATAATGTGGAGGCTGTGATGACAATAGCGGAATCACTTTGGAAGACCTGGAGGCATCTCTTGGAATTAACGACAAGTCAATTTCAAAAATTCTGACGGGAAAGCCGGGGTACGCCAAAAAATCTGTGAAATGGGCGCCTCCTGTTCCGAACGAAGAGCAGAAATCCGCCACGGAGACTTATGCGAAGAATATGTCGAACACGGCGGAATTTTCTTCTTGTGCCAAAAAATATTTTTTTAAACAATAATTGCTTTTCAGCATAGTCTCATAGTCAGTTTCAATGTCTATCCCAATAACTTTTGTTAAGACCCCTCGTAGCAACGGACGAATCAGGAAGATTTTACACAGATTCATGGAATAAAATGTCTCAGTGCACAGTAACTTTTCGGGAAGTTATAATTTTTTTTTTTTGAGATCGCGACTGGAAAAAAATGCTGCAGAAATTCGGGACGGGAACGAGATTCGCGAAACTGCTCAACATTTGAGTATATTCGATAATATTTCATGATGGCCCACACAGAAAAAAAACCAAATGTAACCAAGAAACGAACACGACAAGCTCTGCTAAATGAAATGCATCACTAAGGGGGAGTCAGAGCTATTTCCTCGGCATTGCCGATGAAAAACGGCTTTGAATCGATTTCGTGATGCACCGCGGGATCGTCGCTCCTGTAGTCACGGCACGAACAGGGTCGAGGGGCGTGGAAACGGAAACGGTCGAAATCAACCTCTTATAGCAATTGCCAACCGTCAACTAAAGAATATTCTTCAAGCTGCCGAGTTATCGAGAAATATTTTTTTCAAACTCCACAAAAACAAACTCGGAAACGTTTCGCGCTCCAAGTCTTGCTCGATTTATATTCTCAATTGATTTTAACCGCAGTTGGTTAATGCACTTCCGCATCTCATTTCAAGTAACACAGCTTTTCGAAAGGTACCAGCAAAAATCACGCTTTAATAATTTCATCTCCTGTAGCTAAAATTTTTGAAAAAACGATCGTAACATTCACACGGGTGGACCAAAATAGGTAATGTAGAGTAGTTCACAAATGACGCATTCAGAAGGATTGAAGCTACTGTATTCTAGAAAATCAACCAAAGTTAAAATTTATTTCAATTACAGAACTTCTCCAGTCTGCATCATTAAGTGCCTTTCGCTTTATAACCACCTCTTTATTTTTCCAGCTACAGTATTCCTGGTTCACCATGTAAAATACCAACACGTCGTTGCTTTCCACAAAAAGAAAACGCCACGTATTTTCGCTTGCGACTCTGCTTTCAAAGGAATTTAACCCGGAAAACATTGAGGACTGGAAGTGAGGTTCAAGCAAATATAAAATCAACTGACCTGTTCAGTTCCCTGCTCAAGTCCTGAAGTAACTGGTGGCATTGGGCATAGTAACGCAGTTGGGCATCGACGAAATCATTAAGCGAATGCAGTTGGCCCGTATGAGCGGAACTGATTCCCTCCAACAACAGCTTCGTCACTTCCGTTTGCCGGTCAAACTCGTACTGGGCGTTTCTCAAGTCTCGTTCAGCCTGTCGCATTCAAAAATTGCTTCAGCGCACTCGTTAGTTTTTTTTTTTTTCTAAATTAAATCTATTGACGATCACGAAACATACGAAAACGACTAAAAGCGGTATTTTTCTTTTGTTTTCTTTATTTTTTTTACCTCCGCAATCATCTGCTTGGGATCAATGCCTTCCTTCAGCTGCGTGCAACGAATAAAGGAGGTGATATTAAACACATGTTGTTTTTCCAAAAACATTCGGAGTGAGGAAACGAGCAAAACTGTCAGTAATACAACATTTTGAAAAATTTTTAATTTTTTCAAATTCAGACAAGTCTTCGTCACTGATATGAAAATCATGAAAAAAAAGTGTTCAACAATCAATTTTCATTCACAACTTCGTTAAATGGAGTAAATTGATGCTGTATCAAAAAGGACTCACGTTATGTTGGGCCTCCAAAGACCGAGCCTTGCGAAGTTTGCTCTTGCAACAGTCCAAATCCAGGCGCTTCGTTTCCAGCATTTTTCTTTCCCGAACTATGGTCCTCATTTCCCCATCCAGGAATTTTTGCATGGGATGCACAAAGCCTTGAGCAGCGTTGGAAATGAACTCACGCTCGGCGGCACCGAGTTTCTGCTCATACTGGCCCACCTTCAATAAAGCACTCCCTGAAATTCGAGGAAAAATTAAATAAAAAGAAGCAAGAAATAAAAATCAAAATTCCCTGCCTTGTTTCTTAAAATACGAGACAGAAGCTGCATTATTCTTTGATCTACTCAAATAAAATAGATAGCCTCAAAATATCAATAAGATTACAGAAAGCCCAATCGTATAGCTATGAAATATACCCACGAAACGAAGAAAACATTATCGAGGCGCCAAATGTTTAAATAGCAATTTACAGGAGGAAAAATTGAAAAAAAATTTAGCCGAAGTGATAACTAAAAAGCATAAACCGAAAATGGACTTCTCAACAAGAAATTTGACAGCTCCAGATTTTTTGTTGCTGTTTTTAAATAACAGATGAAACATTGAAGTGAAGGAAAAAATCTGACATTTTTGAGATGAGACTTTGACAGCAGAAAAAGATCTGCTCCAATTCTTTCGCAGATACAAGTGCACAGGAGAATTATGAGTTGAATTCATATTAAAGTCTATGAACTCCATCATGACTTCCAGTGACAAATGAATACTGTACAAAGAGACAATCTCACCATCAAAAAGAACATGTCACGAAAATGTATTATTGTACATTGATTCCGAATTTCTCACTACGCAGTACAGTATTCTTTTCAGACACCCTCCGCGTTCTCAAGAAGTGCAGTGCACTGCCTATTCTCACTCGAAAAATATATTCCATCAATACGAACCGAAAGAAGTACCGGGCCCGTATTCGTTGCCCGCCGAAATCATGTCCATCCCGAGCCATTCGAGGTTACTCATGCGGTTAGGCTTCCGCTTCTCGATCATCTCGGTCAAGTAATCCTCCACTCGGTTCCCAGGGTTCGGAATGATCACGGATTGGGCATCGGCAACGAGTTTCTCGGTCCATTTCTTCGTCAAATCCGCTCGATGAGCAAGGTTTTCGAAGTGAGCGTCAAGCTCAGTTTTTTCAGAGGTGCCAAACTTTTCTTCGGTGTACTACACACACACACACACATGAAAAAAGGCAATGCTTCATCAAATCCACAGCGCAATAAATTCAAACGAAGGGGTCTAACAAAAGTTCTCGGGATAAAAATTGAAACGGCACACGCTTGAGCTGAATAAAACTGGGCTCAGAAAAAACATTCTTTGGCACGAGAAAAAATTAAGCCACGTTTGAAACATTTCTCTGACAATTTTTGCGAAAGTCAATCTGGCAGCTTTCTACTGTCGACTCAAACGAGAAGGCGCCCATCTCGCAGATTCTTTGGCGTACCACAGCTTTCCCTTAAGATTTTTAAAATTGGCATGGCATCAATTCCAAGGGTCACCGCCATTTATTGATTATTGATTCCGCTGTTAACAGGCCAATTTTTTTTTTACTTGCGCTAAAAATTATTTTTCTGAACAATAATCTATTTCAGGTAAATCATTTGGTATTTAATCTCTATTATGAGAACTTTTGTTAGGCCCCTCGTCCTTCAATCCATTTTGAAATTCTCACCTGAACCGCACGATTCAGCAGAGTTCCAGCTTCGTTCACAAACTTCTTGACATTGAACTGCGCCATTATACCAACAGCTCCGGACACCACACCATAAAACGACGCGAAAGGACGATTACTGATAAACAATAAATAAGCTCGATTGGAACACAGAAGATCCACGATGATAAAATTTTACGATTGCATCAAGAACCTGAATTGGACGGAAGCAAATAAACATAACGTATAAACTCGGATTCAACGACATGCAAGACCGTAGCACCTATTTTCTCTTATCCAAGGTATGAAACAAAATGTTTTCTTTTTTCCTTCCAACTCGTATAAACAGAGACAACATTATTCCATCGCAAAATCGTCAAGGTTTTCTCATCGCCAGCATGGTGTTTATCTCCCACACCATGCCCCGCATCACATCTATTATCTCCTTCAATTGCCGGTTCTTCGTCACCAGTTGCTGCGGATAGGAATGGAAAGATGACACGAATAAAAACGACATTCAACGAAGAAACCTCAACACTCTCAATTTAGTTCCACCGAAATAGCATGCGCAAAAAAAGAAGTGACCATTACGACAACACGTCAAAGAAAGTTAGCAATCGCGAAGCCATGAGAAAAATAAATAAATAAAAATTGCAAACCTCGGTTAGTTCCCGATGTTCCTCCGAAGCTTGTCGGATGAAATCATGATTGCGTTTCTCAGTGCCCGGCTGAATATCACTTTTCCCTTGTATAGGCAAGGCATCGGAGAGATCAAAATCCTCGCCCAGTTCCAAGGACGCTGACGCAACCCGGTCGTAGCAAACCCGGAGCCTCTTGAATACTTGGCTCAAGTACTTTAAACTCTCGGCAACCTTTGCTTTCTTCTCTGCTATTCCTGCATTTGCTTGAGGCACGCCACCAATTATCTGCGACACATAAGTCAGAAATACAAACAGTTATTGTAATTATCTTATCTAATCTGGTAATAATCACCCTATCTAATGTGAATAACCTATCGACATCTTGTTCAGTTATTTCCATTTTAATGCTCTATTCCGCAAAGAGATGTCACCTGAAACAACCTGACAGGATTGGCCCAACAAATTCAAAAAATGTACCCGTGTTATCCTTGTTGGGAACAAAGAGTATCTGAACTTGAAATGTGAATAAGAATTCACCTTTCAAGTATAAAACTAATATGAGAATTAAAACTTGGCGATCAGCCTGGGACAAAGCCAAAAAGAATTGAAGCATTTTGTTTGCCCCAAAGGGGATTCTTGAAGCACACAAAACAACAGCTCAGCAACCTCTTCACACTCTTCACACAATGATGTGCTAATTGATAAGGATCCAGTCATCAGAAGATAGGAGAGGCTTTTATTAAATGCGGTCCCTGACTTTGAGTCCAGTACTGGACTATTATTGTCTGATATTGGGAGCCTGTGATCAGCAGAGTCGAAAAACGAACCTAATTTGAAAAAAAAAAAAAAACGAGGCTCTCGTCTCAAAAATAAAGAAGTATTGACATCCATCGACAGCAATTCAAAAATAAGAACATTTTTCGAGTTCGCAAAACTGCGTCAAAAATATGAGACTAAGACGTTAATCCCATTTCTACGCCAGAAAAAAAATACCGCCAGATTACCTGGAACGATTTAAGCGTGTTCAGCAGATCCGTGCCACGAGTGACGATTTCCACCACACTTTCCTGGCCCAACCTACAACACATGGTCAGGTGTTGCTGCAAAGGAGCCTGTTGCTGCTGCATTAACTGATGAACTGGAGTGTTGTTCGATTGCGGAGTGGCGGGAGCAACAGTTGCTGGTGTCGAAGGGAACTGTCCCGAATGCGCACTTTGGCTACCTGGCGTCATTGGGCCCTAATTCGGAAGAGAATGTCAGGGATTTTGCTACAATAATTTCGAAGTAATGAGAAAAAAAGACAGTTTTCGATCATCCACTCCGCATCAAATTTCGAATATTTAATAGAAAAGAATGTTCTTACCTGAGACATCGGCGACTGATGCACAGAGGAGACTGACGGCGGCTTCTGCTCCACCGACGGCGGCGGTTGCGGGGTGTGCGGCTGGGAATGTTGCTGCGACGGCATCGGGGACGCCAGCGGGGCATTCGACATTGGCCCAGACGTCATCACGTGCTGGCCAGAATCAGACGGGGTTTGCGATCTCTGGTACTGCTGCGGACTCGGGATCGGTCTTTGCTGTTGCTGCTGCAACCCGGCAGACGCAGGACTGTTCTGAGACGCGATAAACGAGGGCTGGTGTTGCGGAGACGGCTTCTGAAACCGCATGGCGTTTCCTCCCATCATTTGCGGGTTTCCAGCGGAATAAACCTGACGTTCGACAAAGCATCCCGTCAATCCCACACCAACTCGGGGGAGAAAAATATCTCAATTTTCACACGAGCTTATAATGTGATAACCAGCTGAGCGTGTTCTTTAAAGATGCACCTTAGGTGCGTTGCTTTTTGACAGGTGGTGGGTGGCAAGCTATCGTCTTATTTTAAGCTCAAAAAAGTGATCCTACGGACCGGGACTAACTACCTTTTGTGAATTCACTCGAGTTCCATGCACACCTTTTTTTCCGAAAAATTTGCGGCAAAAAATGATACGTGCTTCACGATGAAGTGAAAAATTTCAAGCGACTCGTATTTGTAAGATTTTTTTCAGAGTTCTCCACTTTAATAAAGCTATTCGTGGTATGAAACAAAAAATTGCCATCGAGTTCGATTTTTAATTCGGCTTCAATTTAGATTGACAACTAAAACAGTTCTTCTTATAAGAATATTAGCATGAAAAAAAAATCGGCCTCGCATTGAATTTTCAATTTAAGATTTTCCGCAAAATTTCTAGCAAAAAAAGTGAGGTGCGCGTCTAAAACAAGGCCGCGTGGTACAGTACTCGAATAAATACGGTACATCGAATATATTTCGCCGTCATCAATTACGACTGAATATAAAATCAATCGAGTCTAACTTGACCTGAAAAAAAAATAAAATATCGTAACAAAACCTAATCTGACACGCCCGATAAGAAAGCGAAACCCGCTCGATGTCCTCCGGAGGACATCGAGTGCAGAAGTAAAAACCAATAAAATCAAGAGAAAAATCAGCAAACCTGCTGCTGCGGACTAAGCGTCGACTGCTGCCAGTTGCCCTGAAAGCTGTATTGAGGCGACTGCTGGGGATTGGACGGAAACGGGCCACGAACGACTTGAAACTGCTGGCCCTGATTCTGGTAGGCTTGCTGAGACGCCACAGGAGAATACTGGCCAAACTGGCCTCCTTGGCCATACTGGTTCTGGTAATTGACGTTCATGCCTTGCTGCTGCGGGCCGCCTTGTTGCTGATTCGAAAACGGCGGGTTACCCGACATGTTAAAAAAAACACTCACTTCACAGGACAGGACGTGATCCTGAAGACGGAAAATAACCAAATCCGGACCAAACTTTTAGAAAAATACTGTACTGTACAAATAACAAGCACGTTATGACCAGAAGCGACCATGCAGCATCACTACATCTGCATTACATTCATCACGTCAAGCCTAGAACCTTAAAGTTTTCTTCCTTTTTTTTTTTTTTTGCAAAGGAGAAATAAATCGTTACAGCGAAACGGAACCGGGAGAGAGCAATGCCCTGGCTTGGAGCTCCTTGACCAAAGCAAACAAATCGACCGAGACAGGAAAAAAATTCCGGACGAGACACGAATAACCACAAGTCCACACGCATCCATTCAAACGCTGGTAACGATCACAATCGAAAAAGGCGCAACAAAAAAACAAAAAAACCGCAACAATTTTCGTGCCTTGCGTGTCTCCGTTTCTTTCCGCTTTTTTCACACTTTCTTGATATAAAGTCAGGAGAAACACAGACAAATTCGGGTAAATGGATCCCGGCGTTTTTCTTTTTTCCTTGGGTTATTCCCCGTCCTTCACTTGGCAGAATCATCGTTTGGACTGAAACGCTGCAGGCGCAATTTCCGTAATTCGGCAGCCTCTTTGTCTTCTTCAGGAATTTCTTCCGGGGCTTGAGGCGGACTGAACCCCGCAGCTCCCTCAGGCTCTCTACAACGATCAAATCAATAACACACTGTGACAAGGGGAAAAAAATTGAGACGCGGTTTCGAAACTAACTTGTCAACTTTTCGAGCTTCTTCCTGGAGATTCTTGAGCAGCCCCTCGAAGTTTGGCAAAGTCGGCTCGTCATTACTCGTGAATCTAAGGATAGACGTCAATACAGAAAAAACCCTCCAAGACATTTCGAGCACACGAGTTCTGGTCGTTCCTGGTACGTCAACAGGCACTCAACAAGAATGAAACTGGTTCCACATTTCTTTTTCGCAGAACGACTTATAAAAGACCTTTAAATATCCCGAATGAAGACTGGAATAAAAAATGTATACTCCAAATTAAATTTCTAGGGTTTTTTTTTTACTTCAACGGCCTTCACTCTACAGTACTTCCACTAGCTATTCATAGTCATCACTAGAATGATTACCATGTGAATTTTTTTCAACTTAGGTTGTGTCAGGTAAGTTCAAATCCAAATTCAGCTTTCATCATAACTTCATAAGTTAGGACGAACATTGTTCCCGACATTCAAGAAGATCAGAAAACATCCCTAAAATTATCGTAGCAGATCAATTCACAAGTTCTGAAACCACGAAAAAAAAATCGATGAAAATTCTGCAGTTCTTGTCAATTTCTTTTTCGAATACTTGAATACCGTTTTTTTCAACACGCTATTAAGATTAAGTTTTAATCTGAAGCATGAGTGAACAAGACGAATCCTCTGACCCTTCAGGAATTAAATACGATGATAGTGCATCATCGAGGGTGTTCGCAGGCAAAATATTTCATAATTGGGAGGCACAAAAAGCAGAGGTGGGCCATATGATCAAGAAAATACTCTTCAATATCCAACTGGATTACTTGCTAAAATGTAAAAAAAAAATTATAGAAACCCGAATGGCTTTCGAATCTAAAAAAAAATGGAATTTTAAAATTCAATCATAAAACGAAAGATCAAAAGGAAATCAGGAGTCAACTCACATGTGTCGTCCAGTCGCAGTGGAGTACTGATGCATCTGCAAAACGGCGGCGTCGAGAAAGCACTGAATGTTTCTCAGGCACCGGATTCGGTTCCGAATGTTTTCTTCCTCCACTCCCACTAGAGCCTCCAACTCCTCGCGAGTCATTCCTTCGAAATTCGCCGGCGGCAAGGGTACGGAAATCGGCGGGGGCGGGAAAAACGGAGGCGGCGGCGGGAACGGAAATCCGTGGGCCGGGAACGAAAACGCAAACGGAGGCGGCATCATGGGAATCGGGCCGGCTTGCGTACTCGAACTGCTCGCCGAAGCTCCGGCCGTGGAATCTGCAAAATTCAAAGAAAAGAAAGTTGCGCGTTTCAGGCACTGCATCCTCATTGTCCAAGCTACTCTACTCTTCAAAGAGAATACATATACAGTATATGGTCATCGTGCATAATTAATCCTCGTCATTCTTTTCTGAATGTTGACCAAAAAGTTGATAAACGATAGAAGGAAAGAAATTTTTCCCATTCATGTTTCAACGCGTGCAGGAGTGAGACAAAGGTTCAAATTACTACAAAACTAAAATTGTGGAATCTAAAATAAGTTCCACAGTATTTCATTCAACATTCCAACGCTCCTTTCCACAGTTGAAAACTCTCAAGACATATACAGTACAGTAGTAATAAAAATACGTAAAATCTCGTTAAAACCAAGCTGGCCTGGAAAAATGCTTCCCTGAGTATTCGATGTACAACGATTTAAATAACCTCATGCCTATTGGACGGAAACTACCACTGGCATTTAATCATACACCGAAACACTCCCTTCATGTAACCCATACAAGATAAAATACATAATGTGGGTTAACAACTTTTCAGGGTACATCATCATTTTTTTCATGGAATAATCCTCATTGGCGAATGTACGAAAGAGACCAAAACACGCGTCAATTTCAACGTATTTTGTGCGAGAAATGTTTGGCGGGATCGGAAATTGTCATCGATTGAGTGTGGTAAAAGTTTTGCAAATAAAATAGCCTTTCAAATTTACCGCAATTTCCGCCTGCACAAAAATGAATACGTTTCCGATTTGAACGCAATAACAGGTATTTTGAGATCATTCGCAAATCTACTCTATGATAATCTCCCTAAAAATGAGTCGCTTTTGATGCTTCGACTTGAGCTCATTTCTGAAAAAGCACACTTTCACGGCAGATACGGGGTTGCCGCTAATTTACATATTCGATGCTGTGATATTGCTAACCCATTCTTTAGCTTCACGAGATTTTGCAGACATGGGAAAATTGAATTGAAAACCTTCAAGAACGCACATACGAACCCTAGATCCCACCAAAATCAATTCCCGCGCAATTCGAACAGCATGGAGGGATTCCCGGGCAAGGACTCAAATTACCCTGTCAGCAACTTTCGGTCAAAGAAACAAAAGGTATCGCACGCTTCGGCATACAGAATGCGAAACTTAATGTAAAATACGAAGGAAACCGGATCCACTCAACACATTTTACAAGCTCACCTGAAGATGCATCTCCAGCATTTCCTTGTCTCGGAGCTGCAGGCATCCACACGTGCGGCATGTGAAAAGGACGATGGCCTTACAATAAAAGAAGCTCCAGTCAAGTGGAAAATTAAAATATTGTGTGACACAAGAAGCTTGCCAACCATTGAAAACGGAAAATGAGGTCACGATAAAATTACAACTACTGTATAATGCACAGTCTTGTGCGAAAAATTATAAGTTTGCATCCTCGCAAAAACTAGACCTCACTACGCAAAGAACACGTTCACAAATTTGATCGTCAGAAAAGTTCAAGCAAAATCACTATGTAATTATACTTCCCTAATAATCCTGAATTTAAATAAATAATTAGAATACAGGGTGTTCGAAAGTTACTGTGCAGTGGAAAATTCAGCCTCGCCCGTGTTTTTTTTTAAATTGGGTGTCACGGTTTATAAAACTTAGCTTGAAATATAATCGTGTATAGGGATGTGCACAGCAATAAAATGTACAGTAAAGATACATTTTGAACGAAACCGAAAGAGTAATTGGGCAGATTAACATTTGCCACAAATTGCAGCATCCTGTCAACGAATTCAAGAAGCAATTTAAGGCCTAGAATATCACTATTCAAAAATGGGATACACAATTCAATGTGATTCTTCTAGCTTTCCCCAATAAAATTCCTGTTTCCTGACTCAAAATCCCCCGCACTTGAATTATTTTTTTCTTTTGCTGGTCCTTTCAAGTTTGCCTTAGAGAGTTTCAACGCCTTAGGGTTCGCCTCACATCAACGAAATGATAAAACAAGAGCATCTCGATTATTTAAAGCGTCCAATTCACCACAGATATGCAGTATACAGTACTGCCATAATTTGCCTCAATCCTACGCGGATCTCTAAAAACATAATTGATTATTATTAAATACTAAATACTTAGTAATTTTTGCTGGAGGTTTCAACGCGGATTTTGACAAATGTTGCATGAAAAATTCCCACGACATACCCATCGGTTGGGCCGGAGGAGGCGCAGGTCTGGCGTCGGCCTGAGCATTATTCGCAGCTGGCGGCGGTGGTCGAGGCGGCGCTTGGGGCTGAGCAGTTTGCAACACATCCAGTCGACATGTGGGGCATGTTTGTTGTCGTTGGAACCACGAACGGAGACACAACGTGTGGAAAATGTGGTTGCACGGCAGTCGCTTCGCCCCAGACGTCATTTCTTCGCGACAAATTATGCAGGTACTGTCCGAGTTGGCCAGTTCTTCTGGGGTCACATCCGGGTACAAATGATTCATATTCCTTATCGCCCTTCGCGACATAATCACGTCTTGAAGAGCTCTCTTGAATGCTCTACAACACGAAAGGATAAAAAGCTCGTTAGCAAAACGACAAAAATCTCAACCAATCGGTACATTAACCACAGAAGCAATTCTGAACCTGATCATTAAGTGAACTATTACTGATACATTATTACATTCACTCAAATCTGAAACGTTTATCCAATTTTAAATTACAAAAATCTATCCATAAACGTAAGAGTGTGCATTGAAATTTACGACGCTTCGAACAATTATAATTAGAATGGGGCCACGAGAGTGGACCTGACACATGGACACCGTAACATAAATACAACTGAACTTCGGAATATCTTGATATCTCTTGAACAGAATGAGCACATTTACAATCAAAAAAATTGAACAGATTTTACTACAAATTCACTTGAATCCATAACGTTAAATAAAAATTTAATTTGTGTTTATTTTCCAGTTTCTACATCACCTATGCACAGAATAGCAAGAGATTCGCGCTTGTTCTTTGCTTTTTTGGCTCCATCTCATCCCAAGAGATCAGATCACGTTTGGTTTTCTCCTCCTATTAATTTCAGCATTTCGAAGCTGAGAAAAAATTTTGTTCAACTTTTGGGGACTTAATTTCGAGTTTCTGGTAGACAGGAGAAGCGAATATGTTCGCATTCAAGTCCATGGGAAAACGTGATCTAACATGCGGTCATTCCGAAATACGGAAAACTGAGAAGGTCGAAACACCAATTACGCCTACATCTCGGGGACACTGACACCACAAACACACATGCAGTGCAACTAAGATTCCGAATCCTCACCTTGTCGTCAGATACATAGGTCGAATGGCAAAAAGCGGGAACGTGTGTATCCTGGCCATTATGAGCATGAAAAGGCCATACAAAACTACTTTCAAGAACCCGACGATGAGTTCTGTGTGTAAGAGATACACAGCCTTTGCTTCCCAGGGATTTTCGCTTTCAATGTCAATCGTGTGAAGAATATATTTGATGGAGATGTTGGTCGTGATAGTCAGCAGAATCGCGTACTCGAATCCGAAGACCAGCTGCACAGAAGGCCCTTTTGAGAGGGTGCTGTGATAAGCACTATTCACGAAGAGGTAATCGAGCGCCCCCAGGAGTGTGAGCAAAGCTGAAAGGATGACACGAGGGATCAGATGGATTTTTCGAAGAAATTTCTGAACCAGAATCTTACATAAAATGCGAAGGTGGAAGACCCAAGTGATGACAGGACTTCTTTCCATCTACACCAAAAATTAAAACGAAGCGTCACTACAAGCAGAATCGAAAAAGTTACATTCACTCACGAAATCCACACGATCCTCGGCGAGCCAATGGAATGATTTCAAGAAAAGAAGAAGCGTGAACAATGCCACAAATTTCGGGCTGAAGTCATCCCGGAAAACTGTGAAAGCTAGACAGGTTTCCGTAACAGCATACCACGATCTTTCTATCAGGTGCTGAAATTATAACATTAATAACAGAAACACTTGCGTCAACATTATCATACTCACTTCAAATTCAGCCGCATGAAGTTGACCGAAGAAAAGCTTGCGCATTAATTTCCCCACCAGTAGAACGAGGACAAATCCTTGTGTATACATTACCTAATTAGAAAAGAACAACATTTTTTATTGCTCAGGCTATCTTGCGATCAAAAAATTAAAATTACCGCCATGCTGGGATTTGACTTTGTGATGAAAACAACCGAAGGATAAAACTGCTTCCGTTGATAATATGCATGACCAACCACAGCTGACGTGAGGAGGAAACTCCCCAGCGCAAATAATAGCGCTCTCATTTTCGTTTGCATTTAGATCTGAGGACATCCGAAAGTATTGAATTCATGAAGGTTACAAACGGCGTGGAAGTATTGAAGGTAAAGTAGGTACGAGGTTAAATTATCCCATCTCACCGCATCCGACAACGAAAAGTATTCTTTCAACCAACAACACTTTCTCACTTCGGCAGAACTTCACACATTGCCTATACACTGAATCAAATTCCACTATCACACATCATCACTGGCGTCATCGACTCGGTCAGCAGAAAATGCAAAAGACTGGCGAAGGTGATCACAAAAGCAAGCAGGAAGAATAACCTGAGCCTGGGAAAAATAATTTCACTTCCACGAGTGTTTGGTTTGTTTTTTTTTTTAAGTTGAAGAAAATCCCTCGAAGGCTTTACATATCTTCAACAGGAATGTATAAGATCGCATTCCTGCTTTTTCGTCACAATTTAAAAACTTGCTTTCATCGTCGCCTCAGGAAGCTAGATTCAACCAGCTTCCGAGCATTCTATCAAGACACAATCCTTCGCTAATCAACTGGTCTAGCCACACTTCCGCCGCCGTTACGAAAATCATATTTCATTCGTAACGCTGCCCGAGCAGGTGTTCCTCAGGACGCATTATTGTAGTCGGTTAGGCGTTGCCAGGTTCACAGGTTGGCGTGATGGTATCGCAGTGGGAAAATTGAACGAACTTCGACCAGAGTTCAGGAAAATTTAGGGTTTGAGACAATTGTCACCTTTTCCATCATTCATGACCCATGCGCGACGTGACTTCTGTAGTTCTGTCATGTACTCATGTGTCAATCATATTCCATTGAATTTAGGCCATGGGCATTCAGATCAAGTAATTAATCAACGTTATCCTTGCGAATTTGTGTTTTCCTAAAGCACTGCACAGGGTGAATTTCTTTTATGTTGGGAACAATTATATCACTTAATTCGCGTTAAGTTTGATTCAAATGCATAAAAAGTATAAAATCTCTGCCAACATAATTACAATTATGTCTCCCTGATAAGCATTGTAATTGTGAAAAAGTTCTGATGCTCTGATGCCAGTTGAAGCTGCTTCAAGACATAAATTGAGAAGCTCAAAAGCTGAGCAGGCCTGTTCATGAGCTTTTCAATTTATGTCTTAAAGCAGCTGAGCAGTATACTGCACACTTATTTACATGTTTAAGCACCCAAACTAGCAACAGAGAACCAACCCAAATTACACAAAGATGAGCTTGAATATTTTCCTCCAGAGATTATTTTTGTTACTCTTCCTAGTGTGTGTTGATGCTGTCAGACATTTTCCCTTCAGCTTTCGTGAAGCAATCTAGTTCAGAAGATAACAATTTATATTAAATATACTTCTGTAACAAATTCAGCATCTTGTCAATCAATATAGCCAGCAGTTTAAGGTTCAGAAGATCATGGATTTAACTTTCCTGCACAGTAATTCGAAACAAATAAGTAGTAAATGGTGGCTTTTCTTTTATCTTATATAATTTTCTGAGTAACGAATTTTATTTGAAAAATTTTGATAGTGAATCAATTTACATCCGAATAATTTAATGATTCATTTCAATGTTGATAATTTCAAAACAAACTGGATAACTGGGAATTAAAAAAAAAAATCACAATTACAAACTGGACGTACGCGTTTCCTCGCAATCCAATTCATCAATACATATATTCAAGAGAAATAATTTTTTATTTCCAAAACTGAAAATCCAACACACGAAACAAAAGTACCCTGTGCCCCTCCATCAATAACACGCCATCATCGACGAGTTCGACGAAAGGAGTCCAGCGTGGTTTGCCGTCCACTCGACGACGACACGTCAGCTTTGGCAGCTCTTCGTCCAGCAGCACGACCTCGTCCCCTCCCGCGCCCTCGACCTGACACGGGGCTGGCACTGAATGTTCCGTCATCATCGCCACTCGCTGGATCCTCCATCTATCCATCGCAGCAGAAATAAAATTGAAAACGGAATCATGTATCCAGCTGTGATTGAGGATTCTGCTACAGGATTTCACACTGCTTCTAAATATTTCAACAATTTAAAAATACAGTACTGTATAAATTTGTATGCTTCCCCACGGCTGAAATATTCAATGTGATCTATCGAAACAGATGGCATAGCAATGAAAAACCGCAAAAGCGTTTTTCGACAACAACGGTTCTCTAAAATCGAGTGCTTCCGGATACAAAAGACACCACATTCTTCCTCCATGTGCAAAATATTATTCGCGTGAACACGGAAAAATTCCTCGATGTGAAAACTTCAACAAATTTTCTCGGAATATACATTTTCTGAACAATAATTGTTTTTCAGCTCAGTCATACATGCAGCTTCAATTTCGATCCCGAGAACTTTTGTTAGACCCCTCGAAAAGTACTTAATGCATTTATGTTTTACCACAGTAGTTTACGGTACTCTAATGAATTCTCGGAAAATGTCTAACCCGGGCCGCGCCTCGTCCCCGGCCTCTGGTCGAGCCCCTGGCAGCAGGTTGCCTTTTTTGTCGACCAGCAGCTGCGGGACGTCGTCGAACGTTAAAAGCCTCATCTCCGTCGTCGTCTTCGTCCGTATCCGAGTTGAGGACGGACACGTCATCGTTGGTGCGATTGTTTCCAGCAGTAGTCGTGGTGAATTCACCGTCTTCCTCACCGGCAACGGGAGCACTCGGACCAGCCTCCTTCAGCTATTACAGAAACGTTTTGGAAATGTAAATCATACAAAACGACGTCCAGACTTACCCTTAAAAAAAAGAAAGTTTTTCCTCTCGAATATAAACTGTTGTTTTTTGCCGATTATTTTGAAATTCAGTACTTTTATTCAAAGAAATCCTATAAAAATTACTCAGGCAATAATTGTGGTTAAAATATTGTATGAGCTACGAATAAAAGCGCTTTCAATTTACTAGAATGGTCAGAATGCAATATTAGAGCAATTACCCGATTTGGTCTAGATTATCAATTGTCGGAAAATCGTTTGGAAACGACCTTTTTATTCCTTCGTCATTTTTGCGAAATTAAATTAAGAGCGAAGTACAGAACTGTATTAACTTTTGCAACAATGGATGCTAGTTTTCTTCATGTATTTTACAGGATCAATTGAACAAATTTTGGTCTGATTTTTGGAAAAAGAAATCATGAACACAACGAACGCTGAGATGATTTAAGCTGAAATCCGTAAAAATAACAATCCCCATAACAGTGATTTCATGTTCTCTAGACAAAAAAAGGAATTTCATTGAGATAGACCACCATTCAAAATAAATTGAATCCTTTTCTAATATGGTGAATCTCTCAGATTTGTGTTCGGAAGAAAAACCTTGCGATGGAATTATATGCGTCACATTTTCAGGAAATCATAATACAGTACAACATTCCGCTCACTTTGGTGCACTCCGCTTGAACCTCAATTTTCCTCTTGGCCCTGAACTCATCCAAGTATTCCCGAATCTTCTCTTCTCCGATATCAGGTGATATCTTCAACTTCTCAAAGAAGTCTAGCGAAAACTTTCTCTCGCTCCTGGAAAAAAATGGAAAGCAGTGGATAAAAAATCAAATAAAAATAAGACTCGCGAGAAACAAAACTAACTGAACGTAATCGCCCATCGACTCGTCTTCTCTCAGCAAGTAGGAATTGAAAGCACGAGTCATGAGTCGGGAATCGATGAACCGAAGCTGAAACTTTTCCGGTGCCTTCTTGAAAACTTCCTCGACCAACTCTTCCAGCAATTCGGGGCCGTATTCAGTGTAATCTCGATAATCCATCCTCTGCAACGGGTTATGAATGAAGCATTACGTTTCCAACTACTGTACTCCACTTCAATGACAGAAATTGGGTTTTGAAATAAATTGTAACTACAAAAAAGTTCAGAATTAAAATTAAAACCTTATACAGTAGTTATTTTCAATAAATTCTGCAAGTCATCCAAAACCTGTCCTTGGAAGCTTGAAAACGAAGTTACAGAATAAAAGAATACTCTACTTTTAAAATGTTGTATCATGATATATTTTTATTTTTCGCTCCAACGCAGTAAGGAGACTCCAGCTGCACGACCCATTTCTCAAATTTTTTTTTTCGTAGAGCCCAGGTAAACACTCAAAAACTGATGAATTAGCATCTTTCAACCAAAAACTTTCATCTTTTTCAGTGTAAATCAAGGATATTTTTCACACGGGTCTCGACAATTTTTAATGATTTTGGAACCCTTTATGAATTTTTAAAAGTTTTACAGTTCCTCACAAAAAAGCAAGATTCAACTCTTCGATTCTTCCAACCACCACTGGGTTGGCAAATCATTACAGTCAGTCATGATCACTGAATCTAAAAAATACTGTAATGCAAACAATTTTCTTCTAAGCTTCTATCTGATTTTTTATTCTCACTTCCATCATTTTAGTCCGAGGGATAAATAAAAATTGCCGGCAGTCAAAAACACGAGAAAAATGTTACAGTGCTGCAGTCGATCACAGACTACTTTCATTGGCTCACAAAGAAAGGGGATCTTCAGGATAATACTGTACTCACGATTTTTTCGGTGGTCCCACGAGGATCCCGGAATCGAGACTTCTTCGAAACTTTCTTTATGAGAATCATGGAGTCGAAATTGGCCACTTCCTCGGAAAACAGGAAACCGAAACGTATCGGATCAAAAAGAAAGTTCTCTTCGTATTCGATATTGAATCGAATCACTGGCATTGTCGGCTGCTTGGAATGCCCAGTGAGAAGTGCCTGTGCATCCTCCAATGCTTTTTCAATGGCTTTCTTCAAATTGGCCTCAACTTCCTTCCTTGCCTGATCCATATCTAGGTCCGTTTCGTCATAAAGGTCTTTTTGAACAAGCTGCGCGATAAATAAAATAGAGATTAGAATTTAAATAAAATAGAGATTGGAATTTAAATAAAATAGAGATTGGAATTTAAATATAATAGATATTGGAATTAAACTAGAAAGGATATTGGACTTTTAATAAAATATAAATTGGAATTTTAATAGAAAATTCAAAATTGTTTAGTGCGCACAGGAACTTTAAAATGTGCTTTTCCAACAGAAAAGCACATTCTGATGGCTTCAAAATTCAATTCCTTTGTCTGGCATCCAATGGAACCATGACAGCCAGCTTATAAACATAAATACATCTCCTCTAAATCCTCTGGCTTATTCTTAATTTTCGCCTCGCAGTAAATTTTTTTGGAGAGCAAGAAGATGTTCTTGGCAGATGAAGTTTATTTCCTCTAAAAACATCCATCAGAACACGGGAGAACAGCACAATGAAACGGAAACTAGCGTATTTCATTAGAAAATTACCACACTTTTCTGACGCAAATTTTCAGGCGCTAGGCGAAAATTACGAATTTCCCCCGCAATATACAGTACAGTATCTGCAAAATTCAGTCAACCAACCGTTTTGTGAATCATGGGTCTCACGGTCTGCAGTCTGCGATGCGTCACATTGAAATCCTGTCCAGACACGCTCAGCACGAAAACCCGTTTCTCCACGGCTTCCCCGGGGCAAAACGACGTCGGGACGGAACTTCCGGGCTGCAGAATGTAGTAGGCGTCGTTGACGGCCGTTTCCACAGACAATTTACACTCGTGCTCGTGTCCCCACACGACGAGGTGGAAAAACGGGTTGTCGCCATCCCGGAAGTCCAAGAATGTTTCCGGCATGTATCGGGCTTCGGTGTGCTTCACTCGATTCTGATGCAACACGAGGATGTTGAACGTCGGCTCGGAATGACGGATAATCCGCACCTATTTCAATCATGCAGTTTCCGATCAATTGGCGTAAATTTCCATAAATGGTTAACATCAGCATCATCGCATAATGATCAAGTTTAGCGACGAATGGCTGATCATCATATTCATGCGAATGCAAGACAATGTTTTTTCTTATTGACTTGACCAGAAAAAACTTTGATCATCAGCTTCCCACTCATTTCATTGATTTTTTTTTTCAAGACATGAATATTTAAAATCTGGTCATTCAACGATATAAATTTTTTTTGCATTTTATGACACAACGGATTCTACATGAAGAAGGATCATCTGTTCTCTCATAGGATTTCAGACTTGAACATTTGATGCATCAAAAATTAAAACTATGGTACCTTTTTTTCGAAAAAGAGACGATACACTCGTTCGTCCCGCATTGCGGACATCCCGTACAAAGCTATCGTCGTATTTCCCTTTTTCAGCAACACCGGAGATAAGACGATTTCACGATTGAAGTCGCAAACTCTTCCTATGTAGTTGATCAGGCCAGCAGCACCAAGTTCATCCAAAGCACAGTAGGAATCAAGACCTGAATAAATCAAACTGATGTAGAAGTTGAGAAAATTCAGAAATTTTAAACTAATTTACAGTACTGTACATTACATGAGATCAGGAGAGATTATTCATGAGTCACCTAAAAATTACTCGGCATCGATGGGTGAACAGTTTCACATAAAATTTTAAGCCTACCAGGGAAATTAAAACATATGTTGAATCAAATTTTCTTCAAAATAGAAAAAATGCTATCAAGGTCACGAACAATAACGTTTTTGGAACACCCCAAGAAACTGTTTATTCATCTAAAAATGTATGAAAAAACTTCCGCAATAGTCGGGGATATAAAAAAATACTCAAATTTCATTCACCAGTTGGATCGTCGTGATTTCCATGAATAGAAAAAATTGGCAAAGAAATGTTTAGATTCGGGTCTTCCCAATTCGGAATGGGATTCACAGCTCCCTTGAAATTTTCCGAGGCATCGCTTATGAGTTTCATATAAATTGGCCTGAGAAAAAAAATAAACAAAAATGATGCAAGATCGTAAAAATCATTTCAAAACTTGAAAAACTTACGCATCGCCTCGACAATAACGCGCCAAAGCATTCATGCAATTCACCATAGTCCGTTTCGAAGGCCTATTCTCATGGAAAAGATCGCCTCCGAGCAGAAGAAAATCCACTTTCTCCCGTTTGCCAATGACAAGGATTTCCTCAAATGTATTGAAGGAATCCGTGTCTTTAAAAATGGAAAATAATTCATGAAAGAGAAGAAAAATATACGTGAAAGATAGGCAAAAACATACGCAGACGAGGATGTGACTCCCATGCTCCAAGATGATTATCCGTAGCGATTAAAATACGGAAATCCGCTTGCTTGTCACTTTTTTCACTCATTTTCTTCACATTGAAGACTTCAGCTGCGAAAACAATGAACACTAAAAAAAGAAACCGACAATGGAAAACAATAAAACGCTGAAACATTCATTATTGAAAAAGCACGTCGTTTAAAATGAAATTAACTCTGAATATCGTTTGCAATCGATTCTTTTCCGGATAGTCAAAATCATGATCAATCGCCATCTACAGCAGAAAGGGCAAGATTAAAGTCACCTAATTTAGAATTGAAAAGAGTCCCTCATATTTGCGTAAATATAAGATCTGAACCATTTAAAATACGATTAAATCGACCAGAAATGTACGAGATGTTCGAAAATTCAATTTCGCAAATGAATCTCGCTCTAGCATCCAAATTCAAAACCTTATATTCGCGTAAATAGGTTCGATATCTTCAAAATAAACGAGTTCCTCTCTTGTTGGCTACTAATGAGCCCCACTCGACAATTGAACAACTTGCCGACGGAGAATCCGTCGGTTCAGTCTGTTCGAGCGGGGAGGAAAATTTCTAGCCAATAATTTCGGTGCCAACTTAAACACACTGCCAAAAACTCAGAAGCAGCTGCTCTGATAAAGCACCTTTTCTTAAGATACAAAGACCCTGTTTGGAAGGGTATCATGAAGGGTGTCCAAAAAATACACTTTTAAACGTGAGGTAATAAGCATCTGATAGCTCAAGGGCATTAAAATTGTGCTTTCAAAGATTTCAAAATACTGTAGTTAATAGAGCATTAATATTTTCTCCATCACTGGTCCTTGTAAACTTTTTGATGCTCCACCTCAAACCCAATCAATATATACAGACAGACTCTCTCTCTCTGCACAAAAAATGTCCAGGGGCAAGTAAAAAAAATCATTGTAGAGAGAATTTCGTTGTAGAGAACCCTTCCCAAACAAAAACAACGTTGTAGATAAGATTGTCGTTGAGAGACTTCATCTGTGTTTAATACCACAGGCAAATTATCCCTAGAACGATTTTCTCTGCATCAAGAATTGTTCATGGTCCCCAAGGGTTTCTTCCCATATTGCACGGCTTCTCAACAACGAAATACTCTTTACAAGGAATTGACTTCTGGTCCACCCGCATTGCTCGTGTCCAGATACGTTATGACATGAAGTGAAACTGAAATTAACTCTTGACTGCCAAAAGGCATCTACCCACAAAAAACTATTCGCAGTTACTGCAAACAAGGTGAGAAAATGCGTTTCTGGGATACAAAACCCACACTCAAAAGTATTTTTTGGACAACCCCACAATTATAACACGGAATACATGAAAAAATTATAGTAGACAAAAGAAAAAAAAATTAATTTAAAATCCCGCGAGGGAAACCCGAAATGATTTGCGACGACATAAACCAGGAAAAAAATCCCTCATGTTTCGTCCGTCCGCAGACCAAAAATCGTCACCAACGCCCGCGGAAAAAAAGGGGTTTAGCCGTGAATTACTCATTCATTCACCAGTGAGCAACTAACGTCATTGGCCATGCAGTGTCCCGACACTCGCGCCAATTCGAACTAACGGCACAAAAAGCAGTTCAAGATTTTAAGACACCAAATGCAGAAACATCGACAACCGAAAACTCCCTCCGTCGATAAAAAAAATTCCAGAATGATCGCCAGTAACTATATATATATAGCATAGAAAGAAATCGGAAGGAACAAGGTATTGATCGTGCCCCACGTTTTCATAGCAGCCCAAGCTCCGGATTTCCGCCTCTCAAGAGATCAACACTTCCCACGACGGAAGACACGGGAAACAAAAAACGGAAACACGGCCTGATCTTCCAGGTTAAAAGTTTGCATGTTTGGTAAACCGGAAGAAAACACTGAGCAACGAAATGCATTCAACATTTGCCACATTTGGTTACACAACACAACAGCCGACGCATGACTAGAACACCGCAATTTGAATGTTTTCTTCTTCTCTTCAATTGCTGAAAAGAATAGGAATAACTTCCATTGAGAGTGTAACTTTTACCGCGGGAAATCAAATATTTCTCATCAGACATCGGCAAATTCATTAAACTAATAATCGGACATGCTCGGAACGAAGTACAATCTAGTCATACATTAAAGAATCAGAACCAAATTCAGTGACGATCAGATGAAGACGAATCATCCAATTCCCCTCCTCTATTTGTGAAGTCAAAGAGCGTAAATTCCGTTTCGCAGATTTATGCAGAACATATCCGACTGTTCAGCTCAACTGCAAGGCAGGGATGTTCAAAGACCGGTTTCGAATACGATGACAAGACTGAAGCCAGCAATCGTCGTTCAAAATAAATACAGTACAATACATATAACAGGCAAGCTTCAATTTGCATCGAACAAAAAGCAAAAAACCATAATGGACAGGATGACACATCACAATCATACTTCTGAGACAAGATTACCTAAAATAATTGAATCTTCATAATGATTGGCTAAATCAAGTACACAGGGTGTTCAAAAAGTAACAATGCGGCGGAATAGTAATAAAATTTTAGGTGAAATGTATGCAAAACAACACCAAGGATGGTGGTAAGAACGTCGGTAAGCTTGAAAGTGCTGATTTGAGAAGTATCCAAAGTTTAAGCAAAATACTTGATAAAAATGTAAGCCAGGACCCATTCAACCCTAATTTTAATATTTTAAAACACAATGTAAATAAAATATCCTGATCACGAACAAGACGAATTTTGCAATTCGAAAAATGTATGCGTGGACCCACTAAAAATTTACTGCTTGAAGAAGAAAAAATTACCGAATTTTTCAAAAACTGTTTTTCGCAGTAGCCTCTTTAAAACGCCAAGAAAAAATCGAGACGAGAAAAACTAACCAACCTCAACTCTGACGTCAACATGAATTCGAATTATTGAAACGTTGATATAGTCTAACCAATATACACGGGAGGAAGAAATATCAAGTAAACAAATTAGCCGCAGAAAAAAAAAACAAAAACGAAGTACCTTCAAATCCGCCGAGAAGTTCAGTAATCAAAGCAACCACAATCAGCGAAAAAAAACCTTCGTTTACGCACACACAGATTCAGCAGATGCTAAATGCAATTTGAAAAAAAAACCAAAGTATAAATAAACGTCAGTGTATGCCCCAACTGAAACACCCTGTAAGAAATGATGCCGTACAAAAACAAACAGCCTAGTCAACGTCCGAGGCGACAATGCCCGAAGAGAAGCGGACGGGAAAGGAAAATGCCTGGAGATACCCAAAATAACGCCTCCAATATTCGATTTCGGAACCCGATCAGAGAATCCTTTTACGTTAATAACCCGAACGTGTTTGTTTTTTTCCCCCATAACAAATTAACGCGTTAATAATGAAAAAAAAAACCACGACGCCCACCCCGAATAATGACTTTCCGGAAGTGCCCAAAATGTTTTCCATGTACGGTACGTTAATACGCGAACTGTAAATTTTCATGGGTTAAGGATAAATGAACCCATAAACCGAAAGTCGAATATGACGACGTCCTTTTGCGTCGCTCCCAGTTTTCCCCCCGTCTTCCTGGGATGCTTCTTCTTTAGGCATTGTCGGCCAATAGTCAATCCTCTTTCTTTTTTATACGGAATGCCATGATGTTGAAATGATTGCACATTTGACGCACCTGGAAAGGAAATGCGAACATTTCAAATCTCCATTTCACGAGCATCGAAAAACAAATAATCCTCGGCATTAAGAGCATCGAAAAACAAACTACAAAACCCCCCTCCCACACGCGCACCAACATGAAAATCACTCACATTTATCTCAATTTAATTCACACGTGCCTTATCTTGAAACTAGAAACTTGAAGGCACGATCAGGCCACTCTCAAACTTACACAAACAGCCGAATTCATCAAAACCATGATTCAGGATTCCAATTTCACGAAATATTCAAATTTGACCAACATTCCTTAAAAAATAGTTCGATATTTTTGTTCTGCTTACAAAATTGAAAATTCCAACAACTGCAACAATTCGAATTAAGATTCAAGTTTGCTTTCGCCGCGAACAATGAGTTTCGGAGACAACTAAATCTTTCAATTTCGGGAATATTCGATAACTGTGCACAAAAAAAATACTTACGACACAGACGCCGTAGAACAGGTGATACAGCGTAACAACGGCGGCAGTTAGCTGCAACATAACGTACTCAATCTCTACGGACTGAGGCACAAGTGCAACAACAAATGCTCCCAGCATCAAGGGCACAAGCGTTATGTTGAACGTGTTGCACCTCGTCCCACACATTTGATGAACAATGAGTCGACACTAAAATAAAATTAATAAAAAATTATAGTGTACCTTATTTACACGAAAACCAAACGCGTCTTCAATTTTAAAACTGAGAGGAAATACGATGGGGGGAAAATTTCTAAAAATTTCAAGAAATTTAGGTGCGCGTTATACTTGATTCTCAAGGAAAATGTTGGACCAATTTTGACAGGAAAAATTGTTTAACCGAAAAATTGAAAATTGAACTGATGTTAAAGTTAAAATTCTTGCGCCTCTTATTTTGAAATACTGTACACTGCAATTTTTTAGTTAACAAAAATAGTTTGCACGTTTTCATTGGGGATTAGATTTTATCAAAATTTTAGGCTGAAAAAGTCTGGGTGGTACTTGAATAAAGCAGGTAGTACTCCATTTCAATCCATAATTTTTCCAAGAAAAGTCTTTCCTCGAACTCATTAACCTTGAAAAGGCATTGAAAAAAAGACTACCGGAAAGTAACATGGATTTCGAAATTTTAAAATTGCAAGTGTTTCTACTCGATGAAACATAAACAACTTACAGAAATATTTGAGAAAATCGTTCCAGTGAGAAAATAAAAGAGTCTCGGGTGTGTTTCCACCACGGAGATTCGTGATGTAGCCGCCCACAGCATGGAGAATGCAAATTGCATCACAAGCGGGACTAGGGGACGCATTGCCTCATAAAAACTTCTCATTTTGCCCGTTCGATCACGGTAAGACCTGTAAAAATTCACTCATAAACTCCTCACGCTTGCCAATTTTATTTTTTTGCAGCTCAGAAACTCACGCATACACGTTCCACAGGGCCATGGGCAACGTCAGCCCCAGGGAACCCACATACATCAACAGTTCAAATAGCCCACCGGCTGGAACTGCTTGACCAGCAATCGGAACTTCGAATTTCCAAATCCCGTGTCCGGCCACAAAGGTTAAAAAGAAGACGATCATGGATGACTGAAAAAAAGCAACAGAAAAAAACGCATTATTTGAAGATAGACCAAGATTCACAGTTGAATACAATGTAAGACGTGTCATAGGACAGTAAAATCTCGATACTACAAACTTTTCAGTACAATAAAATGTTTCTCAAATCCTGGCAGCAAGTCCATAGAGTACATGTTCAAACAATATTTTTTTAACAAACTCGCCAACGCCAGTATCAACAAACTTTTTTAAGGAATGCTTAATAATTTATCCAGTTTGAAATTTCCTGACTGAAATTTCTGATCTCATTCTTGTCCCATGAATGGAAGCTGTTATCAATAACAAGCATATTTATTAGCGGTTCCACTAATCATCCTCCTAGAATGAAGATTGGTACATCAGTGGAACTATTTTTTCCAGAAGATCACTCAGCTTTCCAAACAATGGAAAATATCTGAGAATGCCAGAAAAGCAAGATCTGCTTGAATATATGCAGGGCAAACATGAACATTTTTTCCAACATCTTTAAAATCTCGTTACAACAGATTATTCAGTTTTAAAAAATTTCTGAACTCCCCAAAAGTTTGTTATAACGAGATTCAACTGTACAGTATTCCCAAACGCTTCATTAAAATAAGCCATGGGGGTGGCAAACACGTAAAAATTGGTACGCGAAAATACACTCACCACCATAGAGTAGTCGTAACCCCAGGGAAGAAACAAACAGCCTGTATTGTACTTCTCCCAATGGGAAAGAAAGAAGCACGCAAACACGTTCCACAAGCAAAAATACATCCTCCATGGCGAAATGCTGAAGTCACTGCGTCCGAAGACGGAGTAGAGACAGGTCGGGATGAATACCGTTGTCCATGAATCCAGTCCATGGTCAAATAATTCTCCTAAGGGTCCACTGGTTTTTGTTCTTCTCGCTTGCTTACCGTCGATACCATCTTAACATTGTAAAACACAATCTAAATTTACTGTATGTGAAGCTCCGTCTTTCAAATAATTACGCAAAATGCGCATTTAAATCATGCAAGTTTCCACCTTTCCAAGTTTAACACACTAGTCAGAGCTTTTGATACGATGTAAATGGGAGCATTTCAAACCAATGCGATGAAGCACGAGGTTTGTTCCAGGTTGACGCAACCTTTGATATACAGTACGTGCGATTTAAAAAAAAATTAAAAGCATAGCCCGTGATGTTTTGAAGTTCTCGGGTTTTTTAAAAGTTTTTTCTCACGTTTTTCAATTTACTGAACGATGAAACGTGTCCATATACCATATACAGCCAGATTTCTGCACACATGTCACAGGGTGCTAAAATTTGTCAGGTCAGCTGAAAATGTCAAAAATGGTACCTAAAGATGATGGGCAAAACAGCAAACACGTCAATTTTTGCTGCTTGATAATTGATATTGATGATTATGATTGATAATTATTGATAATTGATAGATTGATAATTGATGATTTTGATATTTGATAATGATCAATAATACTGATTGATACAGTTGATTCATAATTGGTAATGATGATTGATAATTTATAATGATTGATAATTGATTATATTGTTAATTTTTATACTGTAATTGATAAATTACAATTCTGAAACAATTATGGTTAAAACAGCAAAAATGCCAATTTTTTTCAGCAAGACTGACAAATTGTAGCACCCTGTGACATGGGTGGAGAACTCCAGCTGTAACTGGAAAGTTTTCACTCCTCATCAAGCAGAAAATTGATACCTTTTTTTTAAATTGTTCATGAAAAAATCCCAGAACCATTGAACATTTTTGTTTTTCAATCTGGAAAAAATTCCAAAACCTTAAAACATCGTGGGTTACATCACGATTTTTTTTACAATCACACCAACTTTGAAAATATCAGGAGTCGCGTCAATCTGGGACAACCCTTGTGTATTACAACACAATAAAAAATAGGCATTGTGAGGGAATGATCATTCCATCAAACCGAGATCTCGAATGAGAACTCACCAAGAGTGTGGGCTAAGAAAACGTTGATAGCCACTATTAACCATATCCACTTCGGAACCGGTGGAAATTGCGGATGGTCGTCACTCGAAGCGAAGAAGTCATTGTNTCCATCAAACAGAGATCTCGAATGAGAACTCACCAAGAGTGTGGGCTAAGAAAACGTTGATAGCCACTATTAACCATATCCACTTCGGAACCGGTGGAAATTGCGGATGGTCGTCACTCGAAGCGAAGAAGTCATTGTCAAAATAACTCAACAATAAGAAGTTCCCCATGACGCAGAGAAATCCAGATAGTGTTAATAAATTGGGTGCCACCCATTGTGGGAGTAGCTGTCGAAAAAAAAGTTTGTCTCACGTAAAGCGCGATATTTTAACTTCCTAGAAAATAACACAGGCAAGATGAGAGAGAGAGAAAGGGCACTCCATCTCAGAGGGAAAAACTGCGAAAAATATTACCAGAATAAAAGAAAAAAATTATCGGTTTTCTAATAAATTTTCAAAACTTCGATCATCAACGCAGAGAAGATTGGACCTTCGTTTTAAGATCAATAAAAATATTGAGAAAACGTGAAGTTCACTTCCTGTTTTACAGCATTCGTTTTCATCTCAATCAGATTAGCTTACCAAGTTACTTCACTTGATATTCCCAAAAATCAACAATAGAATAAAATTACAGTTGAACCTTGCTAAGTCAAACCTCCCTAAGTCGAATACCTTCCTAACTCGAATTTTGTCAAGTCCCTGTCTGGATTCCCATAGAAACAATGCATTAAAAACTTCCTTAACTAAGTATTTTTCTCTCAAACCTCTGGAAGTAGAATTTTCGGAGGCCTTTTGCTTATTATTTCCTTGAAATATGAAAGAGAAAATCAACAAAACGAATTATTTTATGCATTTTGAAATGAAGTGAAGGACTAATTGAACAAATGAAACCCTGCCTACAAGTTTAGCAAGCTGTAAACTCATTAAGAAGCAAGTTCAGGCCCAGAATATCCTCATCTACAATTTCCCATTTTCCTTGCAGCGAAAATATTTGTTTCCTTTACTCAAAACCTCCTTACATCGAATTTTTTTCCTTGTCCCCAGAAATTCGACTTAGAGAGGTTCAACTGTATTAGTATCCCTAGAAACGTCCCAGCACTGATGTATAGCAACACGAAGCAGACATTCATCTGTACTTACTTCTACCACGCAGTTCCAAAAGGGATGAATCACATACACGCTCAAAGGGTTCGTGTCAAGAGCGCTGTACTGAAAAAATAAATTTAAAATTCAGCACATGTCAACATTTCTGGGTGAGAAACTCGAAGTACTCACTTTATAACTTTCGAAACCGGCAAGCTGTTCCGCGGTGAGAAACTTCATCGTTGTTCGGTGGTCGACAGAAAAAAATAGTGGAAGAAAAGGAGTGAACCAATCCTGAAGAAAAAAAAAGCAGACAAGTTTCACAGACAACTCAACATCCGTATGCTCGACATACAAATTAAACTAAACAGACATCAAATATACGCTTCAATTCTTTTTCATTCCACGGACGGTTGTGCTCAGAAAGGAACAAAATCACAGGTGCATTTTCTTGTACGACTAGATCGCTTTGCAAATAATTGAGATCAGATTTCTCCCGTCGATATGACTTTAACAAAGGACTTCACATTGTTCGATTTGATCGCTTCTCGGCAACCATTCACCACGTCCGACTTGAATTTCCCAACTGCAACGAAAAATATTTCTAGAAAAAAAAACAGGACTAAAAGAAATGTAGGGAAACGAACCTCTCAGTTTTGCTGATTTCTGAACAATTTGATTGAGTTGTTTCAGACACGAAGTTAGCTCTTGATGATGGTTCAATCTCACCTTATGTCCTGCCATCAGCTCTCTGTTGAGACCCATCAGTTCCATATACCACTTTCTCATGCTATCCCTGAAAAAAAAACACATCGGCACATGTTCAACTTCAACAAAGCCTAAAACGATAAGTACTGTAATACTGTACTGCAGTAAAAACAATTATTCTCACCAATGACCAAGAATGCGGGCATCTTCAGCACGCACAATCAAACTTTTTATGACCCCGGAATGGTCAGCCATCTGCGCGTTGAGTCGGCAGCCCGTAGAATGCATTTCATCAGCTGTTTTAAGGAGCTTTTCCACCTTATCATTTTCCAGCGGAAAATCTGCCATTACCTACAAAAAACGACCATATGGATTTTTTTTTTTGCAAAACGAAAACAAAATGTAGTGCTTGCCTGTAGCTCGCTGAGATTCAAATAATTTGCCAGGGACTGAATGAAATCACCCGCAAAATCAACGTCGTCCGTTTCCAAGCAACAATTTCCAATCGAGTCCATTCGAAACGTCAACAATTCGCATTCTAAAAATCGTCATCGCAAAAACTGAAATTAGCTGCACAAAAAAGCGTGTTTGATTGAAATATAATCCGAAGAAGTCACCTCTTACACCAGATTCCAAGATATCGTAGCAACGTAATGCAAGGAAACTTCTTGCGAGGTCCGTGGCGCCATCTGGCACTTCCACATCTTCTGGCAGAAGGAAATTCTGACTCAACCACATGGCCACCTGCAATCAAACATTATATTTCATTTTACAAATCAACCCCACTATTTTTTGGAGTGAAATTACGAACCCGTTTAATCCTTTCCGCAATTTTGAACTTGACGCATCCTCTCGGGTCACGCAATTTGACCCAGTTTCTACCGGTATCATTTGAAGCAAGTGGCCAAGGAGCGTACATGCCAAAACGGGGCACTTGTCGCGTGAGTTCGAAAACGTGGAAGCTTTTCGAATTCAACTGTCCAACCAATGCCTGATCACACACAAGGGAGGAAATTCTCAGTTCCCACGAGAGCGGCAGACATGGGTACGTTCAAAAGTTCTCGTGATTTTTGTAAATTAACAAAAACTAAACTTTAAAATGTCTCAAGAATCATTTTCGCCCGTTCACATATTCGTACATCGAGTTGGGATCAACTTCTTCAGAGTTTGTTTTTATTTTCGGAGAACTGTAAAGTACTTGAAAATTCCTTCGTACTTGCTTAGGAAGTCAACTAAGGAATGATTCTGATTCTTTGACTTCTGAAAACATTCTACGCGAAATTTCGTTAAAAACAAAATGAATGAAAGTTTATGAAACCTTGATATGTAGATCAATCGGTGCGTCCCGTGGAGGGAAAATCGGAACACGAACGGCACTTTTTGGCTCCAGCCCGAGATTAGCCCCAGACGGAGACGACGACAAAGGATGGATTATCAAGCTTTCTCCGTCGAAAACGCCTTCCGCAAATACCAGTACACTGCGCAGAACAGTTTTGTTGGTCGTTGCCAGCGCCAGTTCAACATGCGGCTGAAAGCACAAAATTAACACGGAAAAGATCAATCCTCGGCGATTCATAGCACGTATAATGTACATATTCAACAACAGAATACATTTCACAAAAAAATTGCTCTCTTCAATTTTTCAACACTCAAGAAAGGGCGTTACAAATTAAATTAGAAAGGCAACCGCTAAGTAAATGCAGAAAGGAACGTGAACTCAATATTTCACTCGACATTAGGCAGAATACCAACCTTTATCTTGGCATTCCCCAGATTCAATGCCAGTCCAGTCTGAAGCTGTGTATTAGCCTACAAAAAATTGAAAAAATAAAATTTTAATAACGGAAATACAGAATCAGAAAATCGGTAATGTCCACATCGAGAATTATCTCACTGGTATCACTCCAGCTTCGTCTCTCGCAGCTGAAGGTGCCTCCAACCCGGCTCTGGTGGATCGATAGTTTTTCAGCTCCAACAGAAGCTGTTGCTTGTGTTGACTCAGTTCTCGGACCGTTTCTTGCTCCATGTTTGCAGTTAGAGATGAAGCAGAGCTGGGATCTTTGCCCGAGTGAGGGGAAAAGCCTTTGACTTGACCTGACGACGACGTGCAAATCAGTTGCGGGCGGCCGTCGAGGCGGTAGTCGGCAACGCATATTCCGGCGACTGAGGATTTCATCAGATCTTTGAAAATCACTTCTCCAGTTCTCGAATTTCTGGCGTCCAATTTCCCGTTGCTCCAACCACTAATCAGCTCGGGAACGCCGTCTCCATCAATGTCGAATCCTTCTAAACAAGTTACTTGGTTCTTTGACTGCAAAAAATAAGAATAAAAACACATTGATGAGGGAAACTCGGGCGAGCTTTCAGAATAAAACTCTACACTCACCTTGATGCGCCACGAACGCTGAGATCGGTCATAAATACCCACAGTTCCATTTGACAACCCGTATCCGAACTGGGATTCTCCCAGAGAAGTCAAATTGATGACAGCATCAGTTTCCAAAATTTCTGCAAGAATTTCGTCTTTTTTAAAAGCCCGAATCTGAAAATCTTCTGAACCGACGATCAGCTGAGGGGAAGAAAAAAAGAAAAAAACGAAACACATAAGTATGTCGCATCAATAAATGACACCAGCCCATTTATTACTGGTGTAATAAATTACACCAGGATTCGAAAATTTCCTGTGCAGTGTGAATTCGGCACTCATTTAATTTTCCCACTGCTCCCATAATACGAATTTATTTCATACTACGAATTATTATACAAAATATGCTTAAATATTACAAATTATCAATATTAAATTTTTCTTTAAGAATGATTTCTGGTATTAAAAATTATTACGAATTATTTTAATACTGTATTACGAATTATACTAATATTATTCATTCTACGAATTATTTTAGCATTATTGATGGTACGAATTAAATTTCAATATTAAGAAAGATGTTTTATTCAGTACAGGGCAGTCACAATTACATTTTCATTTCGACATCGTCCACCAGATTCACAAATAACAAAATGAGTTGATTGTGGGTGAATTTTCTAATAATTATTGCAATTACTGTACCTTCAGACACCATGAATAAATTCTTAGTTGATTTTGACGCTTCAATGCACAAAAAACGTTGACTTGTCAACTGTGCAGTACATTTTGCGCATTCAATAAGATGATCAAAAAATGCGTACCTCTTTCGTTCCGTCTCCATCGAAATCCATTAATGTCAAGGACGACACATTGTCACCGGTTACAGTCCAAAACGGATCATTTCCTGAACTATCAAAGCCCTGAATTGCGCAATTGCCTCCCACAAAAACCAGAGGGTCTTCGAAGTCTCCTAGGTTTCCCAGGGCCATCGCACTGACCCCATCGGGAACCTACAAAACAATGCAAACCCGAGTGAAAATTAAAATGTTCCCAGATGTAAGGAAACTTTGTAGATTACCTCTTTGTGAAAAACATCTGCATTGTTGAACACGTCGTAAGCAAGCAGATTGTAGGGGGTTCCCACGAAAATAGTGTCTTTCGTGTCGGTATTTCGAATCTTTCCGGCCAAGATGGCCCGAACTGGCTGGTTAATGTTGAGGAAAGTTACGTCTTTCAACCGATCAGCAGACGCAGAAAGACGTTCTCCCGTGCTCCCCAGTTTGTAATGCGGAGAGTGAATGAACACCTGGAATCGAATTGCTATTTCCAGTTGTAAAAATGCCGCGATTGAACTTGGTTTACCTTTTCAGCTGCTGTGGCTCCACAGAGCGAGGGATTCACGCCATTGAATAAACCAATACTAACTTTTCCAGGCAAAACGGCCAAATTGAGATTCAAAGAATAATTGGCTTCCATCACAGATCCCTTCAAAGATTAATCATTCAAAAGTAGTTGATGAGAAAAAAAGGAATCGCACAAACTTTATAAAAAACAGACGACAAAAGATTGGAGATTTATTCGCATATCAATGCGAAGCTAAAACATGAAAGAAAATGTAAACTTCGTCCGAATCGTAAACAGCAACCTTTGTCCCACACGTCGAACACTTCACAGAGTGGAACTGATCACCCGATGCATCTGCAACAACAGACGGGCCAGGTTCCGACGTCGGCAGATTTTCCGAGGGCGCCACTGCATCCCGTTTTCTTTTTCGCTTCCGGCGCTTCTTCACCTCTTCCGGCTCCTTCGGCACTGTCAGCGTTTGCTCGAAATCGATCGAGCAATTGAAGACGAACATAGCTCTGTACTGATTCTTGTACTTCTCGTGACGCTGGCAGTCGAGACACAGCATCGTCATGCAGCACGGGCAATTCAGAACAGCATCACTATGGGGCAGCTTTTTGTGTACAGATGACCTTCGGAAAGAAACAATTAAGACAGTTTTCGTCTCTCTTCAATTGATTGCTGAATAACTCACTGTTCAGAACGCGGTAAACATCGTCTTCGCCTTGCGTCGACCCAAGCCTGATCATCGTCATCCTTGAGCGGATCATACAGAGGGTCACCTCGATCTTCTGTAACATGCAAAATAAAAACAATTTCAAATCAAGACACACCATTCAAGGCATATTTAAGATAAATTTAGGGAATGAGAAGCTCAAACGTCAAGGTTTCTCCTCTTCTTGATTTTTCTTTGCCCTTCACACACGTGTCACCCGGATTTTTTGTGGTTGAAATTACAAGAATTCCTGAATCCAGCGACACTTGCATGAAATTCTAGAATTAAAAGTGAGGCAGAAAGGGGAAAATAACCAAGGTATGTAATGGCATAAATATTGTGCACAGAAAAAATAACCAGAACAATTAAAAACTGAACAGGATTATTTAAAGGTAATAGAATGAAATTAGTGTATCCCATCCAATCTAAGGGAAAAAATTACACAGATTTATGAAAAAGTATAAATACTTTACTGTATTTACTTTTCGGCGCTTTTCGTTTCAATCCAGCGTCTTGCTCAACCAGAGCAAAAGTTGCATCGAATTCTTTTCCAACTTCGTCTTCGAAAGATTCCTCTTCATCATTACCTAAATACGAACAGGAATTATCATAACATATGTTCGCAGGAATTCATGCATAAACTGTTCATACTAACCGAACGCCGAAGATCGGGTGTTTGGTAGAGCCCCATACTTCGACGCCCTTCTCAAGAGACTTACAACATCATCATCTTCTTCGTCAGAACTACACACAAAAATCACAGAAAAATATACCAGACAATCGTTTTAAAATTCAGCGAAGTTTACCTGAAAGCCCGTTCTTCGCCGTCACTACTGTCACTGTCGTGACCGAAATCTAGATCCATGGAAAGGAATAATCTCCTTCGAAGGAACGTACAAAAAATAAGTCAAAGAATTTTTTTCGATCAAAAAGAAATGAAAAAAATGATAATCTGAATTTTGAGAACGATAACAGATTTTGCTAGTTTTTCTTTAAGTTCATCGCAAATACAAAAGGTGTTCAGCATTCACGCGGACACAAGACGCAATCAATTCCGAAATGCACCTTGATCTTTCAGCCTCTCAATTATCAAAAAAAGTTTGTTAGCAAATCCAGAACACACCTTTCTTTTGCTTGAAAATAAATGAGAAGCTTTTCCACGAAGTGGACCGAAAGTACAATTGTGCACTCATTTTCATACTACTGCACAATTTCTCTTCAGTCCCGCGATTAAAAATACTGTAACAATGTACAACTACCACTTCACTTACGTCAAAGTAAAAATTTCCAGATGTATCTTTCTGTTGATACTGCGTTGTCAGTTTTTCGACCGAACGCAGACCTGCCAAGCCTCGGAGAGAAAATTATGTTAGAGGCAATGTGATATAGCTTTCTTAATTTGAAGGGATGCAAATTGTAGGAAACACCTTCAGCTATAGCATCATTTATTCAAATGTGAAGACCGAAACTTAAAGATGCACGTTGATGTTCAGGAATGGAAGAAGAAAACGCGCCTTTTATCACGTAAATACGTGATACTTGAATGCACTTGTCCCGTAGATTTTTAATGATATTGTACTGAATTCAGTACTTCAGAACTGCAAAATCTGCATAGTCGTTTCAAATGTTAAGAAATTGTGCACTGCTGTAGTAAACAACGAAGAGTTTATAATGCACATACTGGAAAAAACATCTCATGTGAGACAGGATGATTGAAAATGGGAAAACTGAAGACGGATATTCTAACAAATACAAACAATTGAAACGCAACTTTTCAAAATCGCCTCGAAAATACCCGTGGAAGATTATTCAATGGCTAAGCTGCGTTCACACGGTCAAGTCAGATTTTGGGCCGGAGTCCGAAGGAGACCTTTGGTCGGGCATTATTTTTCCCCAGAATGTGCTTCTGCTCCTCCCTGATTCGCTTTTCCTGCTCTTTCTGCATCTTCAAACGCTCTTCGTCAATCTTTCGCTGCTCTTCAACCATAGCCAGTCGCTCCTCCGCCTGCACGCGGTGGCCGTGAAAGAACGGCATTCGTTGAAGAGAAACGAAACACACGAGGGCGATCAGGCACCGAAACCGAAGAAATTTTCACGGAACACTCAAGAAAAATAGTTCACACATCCCCTTTTAAAGGTACCAAATAATCAAGGAAGACTAGCAAATCAGTCTTCATGACCGAATTCGTCGATCGCTTTCCCGGAGTCGTCAGCATCCCGCAACACTTCAGCTCCACCTGCGTTCACCTTTGCTAGCAACTTATTAAACAATGTCAAGGATTACGCAAAAAATAAAATTAATTGCTGAATAGAAGAGGAAATCCCTGCTTTGATAATCCGGGAAGTAACCATGCATTAATCCAAAAAATGTTGCAGGCTAAAAGACACATGCGCTTTGCAGCCAAATAATTCATTCGTAAGCGGCGTCTTTCACGCGCGCAGATCCAAGATCACCAACAATTGTTTGGTCCTGAAATAAACCGCATATTTTGAGGTGAAGATATGAAGATTACTCACCAATTTTCGCTGCGCTTCTTCAATTTTGCGGTTATTTTCCTCCATTATCTTTTGCAATTTTTCATGCTTTTTAGCTTCTTCCTCCTGGAAAATGCGAAGATAAGACCATAACTGTGTAAAAAAAACTTCGGTAAAAAATCTTACCTCTTTCAACCGCATCTGCTCCAATTGCTCTTGCTTTCGTTTTTCCATTTCTTCTAGAAGTTCCTTTTCCATGATTCGCTTCGCCTCCTCAACTCTCCGAAGCACTTCGGCTTCAATTTCCTCCCTACGCTTCTCGAGTTCTTCCATTACTCGACGTTCAACCGTCTCCTGGATTCGCTTTTGAGTTTCTTCCTCTATTAATCGCTGTTCTTGCTCCCGCTGACGCCTGCAGTTGATACGGATGAGTATCTAAAAATAAGCTGAATTCCAATATAGTCACGAACCTTTGACGCTCAAGCTCGGCTAGACGCTCGACTTCGTTCATTTTCCTAGAACGCTTGCGCGACGAGTAATTTTCAACTCCTTCATTAATGATTTCCAAATCTGACGAACTGGATGAAGGCGATCGTTTCCGCCGTTTCGCATCATCGTGCGAGCTTCGCGCATTGATTTCGCGATTTCTAGACGAAGAATGTCGGTCACGCGAATCTCCATGTCGACGATAATTATGCGGACGACGTCTGTCACGACTACGCTCGCGACTTTTCGATCGACGACGTCTTTGACTACGAGATTTGCTGGACTTCCGACGGGGACTTTTGGAACCACTCGGCGAACGAACACGCTCAGCCTTTGGTGCCGGATTGACGACTTCTGTAACGCTCGTTGACCGCGAGCGAGATCGCGACCGACTTGAAGCCATTAGGCTTTGTTTGATGGTTGTTTCTCGCAGCTAAGTCTTGAAAACATGTCCAAGAAATTAAATCACACTTCGTGGGTCTACGAACATTTGATTTAACGACTCGAACAATTACACGGCTACTTGAGGGCTGAGCCCGGCTGACTCAGAAGAAAAGACGAAGTCTACCAGGCACGCGAAAAATCTTGCTCATCCATCGTTCTCACGTTGCAACCTCAGCCCTCTACATTTCCTCACCAAGCAATTCGAAGCTTTTCAACTGCACCGTCGTAAGTGATTCAGAGTTGCGACGGTGCACACTTAAGCCTGGCAGAGATATACTGTAGCAGCTGATTTCTGGAAGTTCAATTCGCAAATTAAAGCGCCACCTTACTCCAGTTATTGCTCACCAGGGGGTGCCACTCGTAAAAATTACGTACATGTCACCTTAGGCACGGTAATATTTGGAGGTCTTCCAGAAGGGGATCGGGAACACCACGTACATTACTGTACAGTACTTGATAATGAACCAAAGATGTCTCTCAAAATGCGTTAAATTATGACAGAATAATAAAAAAGGGCCAGAATGGAACCCTTCCACAAAGCGTCTTCATGTCGAGGCGTTTAATAATAAGAGTCAACATTTCTGCCACAATAATGTCCACCTGCTCTCCTAAGCCATTGCCTTCTGCATTGGACAAGAACTGAAGATGCATATTATTTAAAGAAACAAAATGACACCAAAGCAGAGGATTTTTTGTAACACCGGTAGTGTTTTGAAACTCGTCCCATTTCCAGAACCGCATAGGGTGAAACTCAAGTCTCATTTTTTTGACAATGAAGTCCTGCAACATGAAATCTCACCTTGCAGCACAACACCAGCTCACTCAAATGAGATATGTTGTCTTCAGGATATGCTATTCTTGGGACTTTCACATGAATATGCACCTTCAAAGGGCTTTTATAAAATATCTGCATAATGAATTTCATATTTATATGCTTTTTCTACTTGGACCATGCTGTTTTCAATTCACTGATATGAACCGAATGAAAGGCCATCACTGATGAACTTCTTATTCATGGACCCTGTGAAATCTGAGGTTTTTTAGAAGCAAATTCTGCTTTAATGTATGCGTACATAAACTAGCAGAAAACTTTGATAATTTTAATCAACTAATGTACGTTTGCGCAGCCCTGCAAAGTACAAACTAATATGACACACCATAAATATAATTTACACTTCATACAGTATCATTAATATACCACGTACAATTTTGGATAAAGAGATGAAATAACTTTTGGAAATAAGTTTACCGAAGTACAGTACAGTATTGTAGTAGGGGTTTACCCAGTCCACTCACCTGGGGACCTATCTGTAAAATTCGGCTGCAAAATGCTGGGGCCAAATCCAACTTCGTCTTGCTTTCAATCAACTTAGAATATGGATTATTAATGAAGAAACTTGATGCATAATCCCTGTTTTTTTTAACAGATTGCATGCAAAAACAGACGCACATACGTAGAAAAAACAAGCGAGGATTTTTATTATCAGCGCCCCCATTCCAAAATAATCAATACAGTACTGTACAATCAATCGCTGACAAACACGGCTCAAATCACGGAAAACAACTGGATTGAAATAGAAAATCTGACGGAGAACAACATTTTCTCAATTTTATCACTAAATTAAAAACCGTCATCCTTTCTTAAAACGAGTCGTCCCGTAGAAAAAGAAAAATCCAACAATAATCTAGGGGCAGCTGAATTTTTCCGATCAATCCAAGCGAATTACAAGCAGACTGGAAAATCCCTTCACATTAACATGCTCAGATCATGAGTTCGGACACTAAAAAAAGTGGCGTTCGAATCAATATGCCACTCAATTGCTCACAGTCAACGCGGGTCATCACCGACTCAATTCAGCATAGTGTGACGGTCGTATATGTTCTTTCTTTGCTCCTGAACAACTCGCTTCCATTTGTCCTGTTGACGCCCGACCCGATCCAAAACTCCGCTGCTCGTTCTGGGTCTCACGCGTAACGGAACATCAGAGAACCCGTCCTGCTGAAGAAAAAAAAAATTAGCGTTGAAATCAGCATAGCTAGCTTATTATCAATTGAAAACCATGGTGATCAAGATACGTGTTGGCAACACAGTTCGAGTTGTTATCTGCATTTCAGGGTTGTCAAAACAACCCTCTTACGCAGAAATTACACTACATTCCTTGCAAAATGCACATTGGCGTCGGTCTTTCACAACTAAATTTGAGGAAAATAATCTCTTTTGTAAATATTTCAGTTTCCAATGAACTTTTAGACTAGGTTTAACCATACATTTTCTTCCTTCTCACCTTGGGTTCCACATAACCACCCAGAAAAAAAAGCTGGTACGTCTGATTTATTATTCATTCTGCAATTTAAATAATTGCAGAGAGAAAATGAAACTTTAGGGTAGGCCATTGAAGAACCAATTGTAATGCACAGAAAAAATCCTTGGCAAGCAATAGACCGCGAAAATTTTTTAAATAGCACCTGTTCATTGCCACCCCAAAAATTTTCACATTTTTCATCCATAAGAAAATTAACCATCCAAAAATTTTCATCACGCATTAGAAACAACATTCCTGACGACAAAATTCAAAATGTAAACTCTCATGATAAATTATCATCACAATGTGAAATTAAAGGGGGGGGGGGGGGGGAGGCAGGCCATGACTGGAAATTCTTTCACTTTTTATTATGCTGTGCATTGAAAAAATGTCGTAATACAGTTTAAAATCTGAAAAAAAACAGCAAATGCTTAGAACATCATGTTTAATATTTTTTACATTCAAAAAAATGGCAGAATTTCTTTTGACGCACGGGAGTGGGACAACTCTCGTATATATCGCTTACAATTGAGCTTGCAAATACGAAACCACAAAGATGAAAGTTCGAACAAGATGGAAAGGACTCATTTGTTTTCTTTTCGTTTTCACATGGACCTACCTATTCATAAATAAAAAATAAAATCTGACCTGGCTTCCGCCGTCTTCGTCCAAGTGCTCACGATAGCCAGTCGTGCCCCCAGTCGGGGCACCAACGGGCCCCTTGGCCAACACTGGCTCTAGACACAACAAGAAGACCATGTACAAGGACAGCAGGGAAACGGCGATGATGATGATGACGACCACCGCCTTGATCGTCGCAGTATTCCTGCTCTCATTTTTGCACTCGCACAACGGACACAATTCTCCCTCGTGCTCCAAGATTCCCACGATTTTGCCGATCAACTGCGGGATCACTACTTTCGAACACGTGCTGTGGGAGAAACACAAAATGTTGCAATCACACACATCGGGTATAAAAATAAAAAAAATACTAGGCAGCGGAAAAAATCAGGATCTCTGGCGTGTTGAGCCATAGTGAATTCACGCCAGATGTTGCGCTGAATTATAAGGTGACATTGAAATCAATAAAAATTTAAAAGGACGTGTTTGGGAGAAGAAGGAATCGATATTTAAAAAATAATAATAATTGAGGATAATTCGGATTGCTACTGCGATCATACACAGTGGCTCAAATCAAGAATCCAGGTGGACTTTCAATTCGAAATGAATTTTAGTTACACCTAAATCCAACCGGGACTCCCACAGACAGCTTACCAGCATTAAAAAATTTCCCTCAGTGAAGTGAGGATGAGAGGAAGTTCCAAAATACCATTCACTTACTTCTCTAAGCAAATGCACTTAATCGTTACCCAACAAAATAGGTAGAACACAGTACACATTCCAAATAGCAAAAATGCACATACCATTCTTTGGTGACCACATTCTTGATGTAAACAGTTCGGTTCGAGTGGGTGAAATTCGGCCCTAGTACAGCAGTATCCGGACAAACACATTTGCATCTAGCGTCTTCATATTGTGCCTGTAAAATCAGCAAATTGAATTATCATGAACCACACGCGACATTTTAAAAGAAAAACTCACGTCGACGCATGCGAAGTTCCACGCGAACAGCACCAACACTGCAACCACGCAAGTTGCATTCAATTTCTCCATTGCTCAACGACGAAAATAAAAATCTCGAGAAGATCGAATCATCCCTGCAAAATTCCTGAAATTTGCTTCGCTTTATTTCATGGAAGCTAAACAGAATAGAATGTCGCAATAATCACTCAACAAAACCCCCAAAATATATTTTAAGCACCCGTGACTCCGCAAGGGACACAGAAGAGAATCCATCACAGAGAAAAGACCTTCCGAAGGCGTTTTTATTTTTCATGAGCAAGGATGATAATCTAGATTTCACACGATATGACTCGTTTCAAATTGCAATTCCACTCAAGATCGGAAACCTCTGCGTGATTTGCGAACTAATCGCTTCAACAGCAAGGAACTTTCATTGAAAAATTGACTTAGCCGAACTCAATGAAAAAAGAGAGAATTCACCGTATCCCGAAAACATGCACCATCAAGAATTATTCATACTCCACTGCACAGGGTACCCGAGAAGTTTCTTAACGGTGGAAAATTACATTTCAGATTTCGAATCTTGAACGTAACCTGTTCACTGAAGCTGCGAATAAGACAGAAAAACCGAGAAGAATCCGTTGAAAGAGAAAAAAATGCAGAAGCTGTTTCCCATTAATTAAAAATCGCCAACAGAATCAAATCACTCTCTTATACTTGCGTGGAATAACTCCAAGCGAAATTCAAGATGACTCTGCATTAAATTACCTCACGGCATTGAAACTGTCTTAGGATACAACAACTTTTTGGATACCCCATACTAGCGTTTCGACTAGGCTCTACTCAGCTCCCCAAAATAAGATAAATTATTTCTACACTGAAACAAATTATATCACCCTCTTCGCGTAAATCAATCAAGTGAAAAAAAAATAAATTCAAGCAACATGTTTCAGAAGTCCATGTCAGAAAACAAAAAACGATGCCAACCCAACCCCGACACACGCAGCAGCCAGACCAGCAACGAGTAATCCACGTTGTGTCCGCCACCACTGCTCTTCATCTTCCGCCGATTCTTCCACTCGATGTTTCCGCTTCTTCCCACCACCTTTCATCTTCCTTTCAAATGCATCCAGCTCTTCCTGTTCTTTCTTCTTTCGCAATTCTTCTTCTACTTTCCGTTTCATTTCAAGTTCCTACGAAAGCACCCGAAATCAAAGTAACACATGAAGTTCGAGAAAATGAAAAATAAAGAGTGGCGACTCACTTTTCGAGCTTCTTCCGCTTTATCGTAGCAGACTTGATCACAGGCGACTAACTGAGCTAAATGAGCAGCTTGCTCGCGAATATAAACGCACGGAAATTCTTTCTTTTTCCGTTTGCAAGCACACTTGACGTTAACTTTCTTTTTACATGTGCGATCACTTGCGCACTCTCCTTGGTGACATTGCAACGTACAGGAATGTCCACAGGCCATCTTAAAAAAAACAAAAAAAAACTGTTGCTTCCTCTCTTAATAACGTTTCCAATCTCATGATTTCCTTGGTCTTTAAATTTTGTTGCTCAAATATTCAAATTTCGTTCCCGATTTAATAGGCAACGCTATCCGCGGTCATGAGTAATTCAGTCGTTTAAAAAAGAGAGGTTCTGCGTCGAAGTGAAAAGACTAGAACAAGAGAAAGAGAGAGCAAATACAGTATTTACTTGAATACCACGTGCACGACAGCGTTTTTCAGTGACAATTTGTTTTTTCAATTCTTATCCCGGTGAAAGACGCGCACCCAATTTTTAGTGACTCTAAAACGGCAATACGAGTACAGTATTTCAAAAATAACTGAACAATAAAGTTCAAATTTCACTTTAGAAATAAGTTGACTCTGAATCCAAATACTGTAATTCCCAACTGTTTTCCAATCCAAAAAGCATCTGTTAAAATTGATGCAAAATGTTGAATTAAAATCAAGTTGTATCATGCAAGACAAAACTTATAAAAATTGTCGAAAAGCGTATACCCATCCATGAGTGCCACGACACGCACCCCGCTTTTTCCTCTTAATTCTTGAGAAAAAAAAAGGTGCGCGTGACACTCAATAATATGGCAATGGAGTACTACTCACCACTTTCGGACACGGATTACCGCAAGACAGAAGTTTCGTTTTGTCTTCATCTCCAGCTGCAGTCCACTTATAACACTTGACATAAACTTGATTGATTCCGCAATGACAAGGAAGTTTCACCATCAAATCACATCTTGGACAGGGGCCAGGATGACATCCGGTTCCCTTAATTTGCAGAGGACACGGATGACAACAGCCTTCGGGTCTCGGCTTCTCACACGGACTCTGACACGTTTCACAATTCATTCCTGCCAAATCCAGACCAGATGCCCCCTCCACAACATGGCACTCCAAGGCACACGTGTGATTAGTACAGGACAAATGCTTTCCACACTGACGCTGACACGAAAAAGGAACAGCTTCGCTGCACGGTCGTTGGAAAATCTCGTGTTTTCCGAAGCACTCCACAGGGACTAATACCTGAAATGAACGAATTTGAATAGATGAAATTATTCGCGAGGCAAAGGAATGTGCAGAAAGTATTTCAAGAAGTTTTCGGGTCAATCAAGTACATGTAAACGTCATGATCAAAGAGAGAAATCAATTCTTTTTAAACATCAGCTCTTGAAGGATCAATTTTCGAAATGAACAGAAACGTTTTCTGAAATACAGTAGTTCATTAGTCCCGAGAACTTTCGGAACACATTCCCTGAGGAAGGATGCTTTTACCTGACAAGAGGGACAGGGTAATTTCACAATTTCAACTTCAGGATTAGTGACGACTTCCCAAGGTGTGTCAGCCTTCCTCTGCAGCGGCTTAGCACGAGCAACAAAGTCGTGACACCGGGCCTCGCAAATATGAGGACAATTGCTATACGAATTCTCACAGCGAAGATTACAAGGCGGACATGGTCCAAAGTGACACTTGTGAGCTTGACGTTTCGGATGATGACAATCGGACGGGAGCCTAGAAGATCATGATTCAAAAATTTCAAATGAGTGCGATATCACAAGAAGAGGAAAGGAATTTAATACATTTTCGGAGTCAATAAGTTGCAGTGAACTAAGACACTTCAGATTCCCGGGAATACATGCATATTTTGTATTTTTACTTCCTCTTTTTCATTTTACATATTTTTTTTACTTTCTCCTTCAAATTAACAGATTGTTTCTCAATGAGCGCAATGCCTCAGGTGCAGAAAAGCAGCTTGATTACCGCATAATCAATTTTTGAAACGCATACTGCACTGATAATTCACTTGTTGCCCAGTTTATCACAATTTCAACTCTAGAAAATACACGGGGAATCAAAAACTAAAATTAAGAAAGGAATGCACACTCACTTGCAGGGTTCAGAACACCGTGGAGGCTTCGATGTTCGTTCACGACCACAGGGAACGAAACGTGATTCCTTCCCACAAAAGCATTTAATTTCGACCATTATGTTGCATGGAAAACAAGGGCCCTGATGACAACGTGAATTGCACTTGTGGTTCTTGCAGCCCAACATTCTTCCGCAAGGCTGTTCGCATGACGGACACGCACCTGAGCAGCACTAGAAAATATGATTCAAAAAAATTAATATATTTTTCAATATAAGGTACATTATTAATTCACTTTTTTTTTTACAAAAGTACAGTATCTCCTGCCCAGAGACTTACAGGATGCTATAAAATATATACGGCATAAAAAAAGGATCATGAGAAAACTTGAGCTTAAAATTAATAAAAATCAAATGATTCGAAGTTATAGAGTATAAGAACGCGATTAATTTGATACAATTTCACAATTCGCAGAGATAATTTTTTCCTTCACTTGATTTTAACCAAATTTACGTCGATCACAACATTCTACAGTAAAATCATTACAAAAATATACGCTATTCATTTCATTCACTACCTTTCGATTACAGGCATGTCTTTTGCAATCCCTGATTCGCTTGCACTTCGATTCACACAGGAATTCCTTTTGGCAAGGCACTTCTTTCTCCTTGGCTCCGCAACGACATTTCTTCAAAATTAACTGCAGACACTGGGGAAAAAGAGAGGATGAAATAACGGGGCATTTTTCGCGAAGCCCATTCGAACGCAAGTTTGAGCACTTAAAATTTATAAAAGGAAGGAGCAAGAAAAAATTAAATAAAAATACTAACCGAGCCACAATTTCCACGGTGACACCTAGCGGCGCAGACATGAACGCCACAGGTAAGGGTTTTACCGCAGGTGTCTCCACAGGGTCCTATTTCTTCAGTACAAGGCAATTCTTTCCTAAATTTCCCACATGGACAGCTTTGTGTTCCACTCAACGGACAATCGCCACACTCATTCAGAGGATGACAAACTTCTTTACACTTATGAAATCCGCAGGAAAGCATCCGATTGCACGGAATGCTGCACTTCCATATTCGATCATTACAAGGCCTGGGAGAAAACGAAAATATCAATAAACTAGAACTGAAAGGGCTCGAAGAAATACACGATTTGGTTCAAAATTTTAACAAGTCCATATGTAGTAGAGTATTTCTGATCGTCAACGAAAGATTTAATTTTTCGTGTTAATAATAAACCATTTGCATTTGGTGAAGTACAGGTTGAAATTGAAGCAAGTTTTGAGCTGGAAGTTGTTCACCAACTTGAAGATCAGGACTAGAATGTTCTAAACTCAAAAAATGAGTTCATCAGATAATGATTTCGACTAATGTTTAATATTGTTATCAAAATCAAAATATCGCACGTCACTGCTGAGGTTCTCAACCTGTTCTGTGGTGATTGAAACGCAGTGACGTAAGAATTATTCGACGAAATAATCGGGGAAAACGTAAATTTTTCAGAAATCCTTTTGGGAAATTTGCAAGAAATTCAAGTATGGGA